CACAGTACTCCACTCTAAACATTTTTGGATTATTTTTACCAATCCTCCAAGACTTTGTATCATCTTTCTGGGGATCCAGTTTTTAATTTAATTCATCCATCCAAGCCTCTGCCTTCTGCTGGTCCTTCTACTCTCAACTTTGCCCATTAATATATTTACTATTATCTCCTCATCCCTCATTAAAAGACCAAATAATCTCATTTTCCTTATTCTATAAATGTGATATACTGTACTCTATATTTCTCTTCAAGTTTTTGCCAATCTCTGTACTTCTTTGTTTTCCAATCAGTGCAACTTAAATTTAACATTCTCCTATAATACCACATTTCAAAAGACTCTAGCATCTTTCTGGTGTCTGCTGAAAGTGCCCACGCTTCTGACCTGTACAACAATCCTGACCATACATATAACATTTCAGCCTTTTTATCAAAATTAAATTAGTTAATGTCCCGTTTTATTCGGTCTTTTACATTATTAAACACTGTTTTTGCTTAACCTATTTTTTATTTCTTTCACACATCCACCATCACAGTTCATGTTACAGTGCTTCCTAAATACACAATATTTTCCACTTGTTTAAGTTCCTTTTTGCTCACCATAATGTTTCTTTAAGGATTTATTTCTAATTTGGAAACACCCATTACTGTACTTTTGACTTTACAACATTAACTCTTAACCCGTATTCTTCTCCCTTTTCCACTAATCTGTTAACCCATTTTCGTAACACCTCTTCACATTACCTACAAATAAAACAACCACTCAAGATACTCTATACAGCACGTAGATAACCTACCGGTACTGGCTTCTAACACAAATCCAGACGACAAAGCCATTCTGTCCTACATAGAAATGGTGTAACTAATCAGTAATGTATAACACGTGGAATGTCAGTATAATAAACAATTTGTATTTGCTGGCAGTAAAATTGAATTTTTCATACTGTACAGAATTCTGATGGCAATGCTTAGGCTGATATATACAGTGATAATCCTTACCACAAATTAAAGTGGAAATGTGAAAACCAGTATCTTTCTGTACTAATACAGCACTTCAAACTGGCAACGCTGATTAACCAAGTAAGGTTTACATAGAGACGCGAGTTGTTAAAGAATTCTCCGCAACACCTGTACAAATTATAAGTCCGCCCAAATTTAAAAAAATAAACATCTTTATTCTACTTAAATAGATATTAAGCAAATGTTTGTGCAGTGCCAATATTGTGATTAAAACAGTGATAAAGGTACTGGATAAGTTTACCTATTTGGGGAAATCCATAGTCTAGCTCCTCATAAGCAGGCCATTCTTCCCTTGATGAGGGTAGTCCTGCCACCACCTTATGGGGAGTGACCTCAAAACTACACCTTAACTAGGGGTTGGTATTACAGTACTTGGGGTTCTTCAGAGATCGTTTTTGTTTGCTTATGTGTTTTTCATTCAGTTTTAACTTCATTTTTACATTACTTTACATTTCATGCCTCTTGTCTTAATCTAATTATGTTTTGTGTACCAGAACTCTTTTTAGATTTTAAAATTTTCGTTTATCTTCATCTATTCTATGATCTATTGAGAATCAGCTAATGTCTTGCCAAGCCTTTATTGCTAAAATGCTTTCCTATGTAGCCTGCCTAATTCCAGAGGACTTTGACTTGTTCACTGGCTTAACATAATACCTGGTGGCTAAAGTAATGTAATTTTTTCACTTATGATGAACCTGAGGTAATTAATCAGTAAATATGTATTATACAATATTATAACACTTCTTCCCCTGTCATAAAATAGAATTCCATACTTGAGTGTTACTTTTACCTCAACAAAGTTTCTTTTTTATAATAGATGGAGTACTTCATGTCCCCTGGGCTATACTGCGCTAGGTTACTCCTCTTGTTAATGGCCCATTGAGAATAAGACAGGAAAAGCTACAGTAGAGTAGAGGTGCCTTATGGACAGAAAAGTGGGATGTAGGAATGGGTGTACAGTATATAAGAAAAGGTGCAATCAGTGTGGATGGTAAAAAGAGAGTACAGTAAAGAGGTCTTTGTAGGAATACTAAATTGAAAAATGTAAAGCTTGTGGAGCAACTGTTGTTACACGCGAATATAAAGACTACTGTATGTGTAATGTGTGGTGAAAATTGTAGCATTCTGATGGGTACTTCAAGAAATCTCGAGTTCCCTGTTGTAAAAAACTAGAATACCCAGTTGTATTGGAATTCTCCATGATGATAAGATAACCTGTCATGACCTCAGGACACAAAAAGTAGGTATATAATCTGAAATTTTCAAAAAATTTCCTTTCATTTCTGTACAAGCCATCCAAGGCATGATGGAAGCCTTATAACAAAGACATTATTTAACCTTTGTGCTTCCTGGAGGAATTTATGGGTTTTATGAGGCTTAAAAACTCCAGATTGACTACATACTCATAAGGAAATCAGACAGAAAGCTTGTGAGGGAAGTAAAGGTGGCAACAGGGGAAGGAAGGTGTTTGTTCCAAGAGGGAGTGTGTGGAAACTGAAGGAACAGAATATAAAGGGAGTAAATTATGCTGAGTTGACTTTAGTGAAAATGGACAGCAACATTGTAAAGGGCAATGTACTGAGTTGCTGGGCCACATTAAAGGACGGTCTGTTAAGTGTGACTGAATGAAGAGCCCAACCAAGTATGTAGTAACATGGTGGTGGAATGATGAAGTGGATAGAGTGATAAAGGAGAAGAGAATATTGTAAAAGGCCTGGAAGATGTATGGTGATAAGGAAGATTACCTGCAGGCCAAGCACAGGGTCAGAAGACTTGTTTACAAAAGTAAGAAGCAGGATGCATTTGCAGATATGAGCTGAATAATGCAGGTGTTAGAGATGAACACAGAATAGTAAGGCAAATAGTGAGTGAAAGGTCATAATTAGTGAGTAGTGTGTGTGTGTGTGTGTGTGTGTGTGTGTGTGAGTATAGTGGAGATGCATACATTGATGAGGAGGCAACCAGTATCCTAAAACCCCATTTTACGGTAAAGCCCAAAATTAGCCAACTTTTGTAATAATCCCCATCTGGAGCAAGAATAGGCCCAGGTATTGGTCAGTCAGTCCCAAATTGAATCAATACAAACTAAACTTAACCCCTGAAACATGAAAAAAATAAACTTTAACCAAATACTAGCAATAATGTGATTCTCACTCAAGACACCTTAAACAGTCCTTGGTAAACAGAGGTGATGTACCGATCTCCAAAGCTGTTCACAGTGAGACCATCTGCTCAGTGGAAAATGTGGCAAGGAATGGATTGGGGTAACATCTAAACATTATTGTGGCCAACCTGATAATAAAGGTCAAGTGCACATTAGGCGTCATGATGTCACACGCTCATCAGGTCTCCTCTCTCTAGTTTAGTAGGAGGGAAAACTTGCGTCTAGTCTCCCTTTAAAGTGATGGCTAAGGTAAGTGAGGGCAGATTAATCTAAAGATTATTCCCAGCTGTTAAAGTCAGATATTCTGGGTTCCAGACCAGTGGCTTAGTGAGTGCATGACCTGAGCTACTTAATGAAGGGCAACTGGTCATAAAGAAAAATGGAAGAGTGTATAAAGGAAAGGTATCATCAGAGGAAAGGAACAGGCAGAATATGTATATTTGAATAGAACAGCTTCAAGGCTTTTCTATCATGGCCACCTTCTTCACGGGAGTTCTCCTGGGTAAAAGATAATAGAAATATAGCTATACCTGTACTGTATATAAATTGACTTTTGAACTTTCCTTTAAAGATGTGTATCTACTATATATACAAGAAATCATTTGATTCTCAAAATCTCCATTTTGTATACAATTTCCTTTCCTAATTTCCAGCAAGATGGCTTATACAGTCTTCTTTAAATATTATGTTCTCATGACACAACCATGTTGAAACCATTCAATGTACTGTATATATTTCACTTCTTCCCTCCACCATCTCCCCTTAAATCTAAATCAGCTAAATCTTTTAAATATTCTCTTCAAATTTGCTTTCTCCACATGATGCTTGAGCGTTGCAACACTCATTCTTTTCAGTCCTACAAAACTTATTGTCTTTCCAATTTTGTCAAAGTAATCCTGAAAGTACATAAGTTTGCTCTTATAAATAACTAACCTACACAAAAGCAATACTATGCTGCACTGCTTTCTCTCCCACAAGACAACTGAAGCAACTCTGAATTATGTCAATCCCCTGTGAAGATTGGGGTTCAGTCAGAACAAAAAAGTGGACTGTTACTGATACTCTGAACATGTACTCTAATATTACCATGTGCAAGGGAGTGATCATCCTGTGTGCACTCTGCAGTGATCTGTGCTGTGGCTAAACCAATCTAGTGAGTGAGGTAAGGGATAATTTAGGACAATATAAGGGTGAGCATTCACTACTGTCACTTTTAAACTCTAAATTGCATTCCAGGTACTGATATATGATATCTTACATGGTGAGCCACTTGTGGCTATAATACAAATTGCAAACAAATTATTACCTTCAACAAATTTTGAGGAAATTAGTACTAACTCTATAACAATCTAGTTAGTTTTGATCTGGTCATATGCACACTGAGGGGTTAGTAAAACAGGCACATAGCAGTGTTCATAAAACAAGATGAGGTTATCATGGCAAGCAGGATCAGCACAAGGCAAATTAGTAAGAAGGGATTTCTCAGGGGTTATGGTGGTTAGAGGGGTTAGCAGCATCCCACAAGCAAAGGGGGGTCACAATCAGCAATCCAGGCCTCACTCTTCAAAGTGGGAAGTCCGTTCTCTAACCTTGGAGGCTTTACCAGTTCCCCAAAGAACCCTAATAATTTTGTTCAGAATATAAACTGTAGTTGCAGTGCAAAAATCTTAAGGAGTGGATTTCTATATAATACACAGATGTGCACCAGATATATAGATATATTTCCATACAGAAATTAAAAACATATCCATAATGATATTTCATCAGATTGTTTTTTTGATCATGCTGGAAAAGCCTCCGTGGTACCTCCCCTAACTGACCTCTGTTCTGGTCGAGCGGAGGGACCAGCGAGTTGTCCTGGCACACCTTGAAGTAAACCTCCTGTTTCGTGCCCTTGGTTATGGCCCCTGGGGGAATGACTATGGACACGCCTGTTTCCTCAGAGGTGAGTGTGCCCCCCTTGTGATCAAACACCCCTCGCGCCGTGGCTATCACCTTATGTTTGCCTTCGTCTGCCACCGACCGCCTGCTGAGTGGTGGGCACAGCCTCGGTTAGACAAATAAGCCTATGACAGTTCCAGCAATGATCACGGTACAACAGAGAGCCAAAGGGAAGATCCGGTAAGCTGTTATCAACCCTTGATAATTCCACAGGATTAATGGTTAAGTTGACAGCTTTAGGGAAGAGAATTATCACAGGAGGATTTTTATTACTTTTCTTGACTCCCTGCCCTTTGATGGTTTGGCTGTTGGAAAACATAAAATTTGTGCTACATGCACAAACAAGGAAGTGCAAAAGACACCTGAATAGGCATAAGGGAGCCAGGATGCAAGAAATGTAGGGAGACATTGTTGCATTTCTGCCAACATGTATCACAAAAAATCCCAGTTAGAATTAACCTTAGAGGAGGAAAATCCCTAACCAGTGGTACATAGAGGTAGAACATGAGAGTACAGGGGGATATACTTTGGGAGGGGTTGAAGAGTTATTAAGAAGAAAATGTGGAGATGACACAGCTGATGACAGAGGAGCAGTACAATACAATCTTCACAGGGTTATTGTTACTCTGGTGCAAGTTACTGGCCATTTTCCTGAATCATACAATGATAATTTTATTAAGTTATTAGCATCAATTAGAAAGCCAATCAAAGCACTAAGGATGAAAATGAAAGGTACTATACCCGATAAGAACAATATTAACAATAAGCTGGAAGGCCTTTGATTAATAATGAATAAATTGGCTCTTTACATAATACTATGACTAAGTTTAAGCAATAAAAAGCAGTAACACTTGTCATGTTTACATCATCCTTAGGCTTCTTTTGTCATATTAGACACACCCAATCACCACCTGAATATAGCCACATTGAGGAAACATATAAGTACTTACTTCTTCACCTACAAGCCTTGAGTTTGCCCTGTTGGTGTTCCCCACAAACATGGTACACCTAAACACCTAAATCCTCCCACCTGCCCACAAGAGGAGACCTTTCAGAATAGTGATAGTGTAATGCTGACATTTTGCTGTCTTGTGTAGATATGTACAGTAATGTTTATACTATATCAAAGTGCACAAAATTGATGCACACACACACACACATATATATATATATACATACATACATACATACATACATATATATATATATATATATATATATATATATATATATATATATATATATATATATATATATATATATATATATATATATATATATATATATATATACACTAATGCATGCATTTCATTCTCTCCAACTTCACATAAATTTCTTTCAAATTTCTAAAGATAAATTTAACTTAAGGCAAAGAATGAACTGAAAACTACATATCCTTTTAAAAAGAATCTTATAATATTCTGTTAGAAAACTCAAATCCAAAATGATAGTTTAATTAATCTTTATAAAGTGAGAGAAAATATGTATACAGACTGGAGGCATACAACACAAATTCCTTTCATCATGACACTGCCAAAGATGCACTAGAATTGTTGAGCTAGCAAATAGCTTACATTATAAAAAAACTCTACTTACTCTAGTTATTTCCAACCAGAAGGAAAACTTCTTGACAAGAACTCGGCCATCCTAACCTTCAAGTATTCAGTAGTTAATTCACGCAATGAAACTCCTGAATAACAAGACCCATTAACTCACTATCAAGCATCCACAAGAGAACCTGCACCCATTTAAGTACACCCACTTACTATAATCATAAAAAGCTGCCACTTCGGTCAACACATCACTGTGTATAACTCACATCTATGGAAATTGCTAGATTTAAAATATATATCCAAGAATTTTTGGTTTAGCACAATTACAAACATGGATAAAGGATGACGGCAACTAATGACTGCGTGTAAAAGGAGGGAAATTAATACTTACAGGAATAATCCCATACATAAAGTTACACTATATGAAAACACTTGACTGTATGCTTTGCAGCCTTCATCTTGAAATTATCACTAGTCTGCTTGTATGAAACTCACTAAGTACTTTTAAGTTTCGTCTTTGTGTTACAAAAATGAAAAGTATTTCTATTCCACAAAACATTCAAATTTCAGTGTACAAAGGCACACATTCCATATCTGTCAGCATTTCACATATGCCGAATTGTTACCTGTGCTACTGAAAGTGTTTTTATTAATGTGAAAATTATGAAAATTGTGTTAGTATTTTGATATCTAAGTTTCCTCTTCCTTGTGTCATAAAAGAATATATAACAAAAAAGGAGAACTGATCTATCGTATAGCATGAAAGAAAGAAGCTGCACCAATTGGTAAAACATAATGAAAGTTTTCATAAATGGTCAACTTATCCATCCACCAACAAAGTACCAAAAGAGTGTGAAGCTGTACATGCTTATCTCTCTCACCTGTTTCCATGGTCTGAGTACACAGGTAAGGCAGGATGGCCTGGTGGGCCACGGGGATCTGGAGGCTTTTTGTAAAGCTCAAATGCACTTCCTCTGTGATCATGATTGGGTAAGTCCCTACCGCCTGGTCCTCCACCGTGCTGCCCACCTCCTGGTACCATATCTCGGGGAGGTGGGACGTTGAGGTAATATCCACTTCTGCCTGATGCTGCTGATGTTACCTGCAATATATGACACAATGATGAAATTTTTCTTCTCTCTTTAGACCTGATAATATACTGCACCATATGAAACAAGAACTATCCTATGCCCCCTCATGTTCTGTGAAATATTTAATTTAAAAGGATCTACACAGAGAGCAAAGCAATAATGGTGACAAAAAGATCTCAAAATGACAACTCAAATTATGTAACACTTCCTTCAAAGTTAAATATTTCTTTTTTTAGGAGTATCAAAGGTAAATAATGACATAACACATACCATTTTGGTCCTCGAGATGCACAAGACATGCTCTCACTCAAGGTGCATAATGTAACAACCCCCCCCATGCAGCCCACATCCTCTCATGCTCCATTTGCTCTGTGTTTAGCGTAAGTGAAGTGCTTTCATTTTATCTGCCTATATCCATTCCGTCCTTTCATGAACCTGTACACAATGGCATCCAAGCATACTGGTGATTCCACCATCACCAAGAGAAGCTATACCAATTGCACATACTGTACTGTGTTGTACTTATTTAAATAATTTATCTTTTTTTATGTATAACACCTTTAATAATGTTTTAGTAATTGTGTACAGTACTGTAATGTACAAAAATAAACCAAACCACAGTGAACTTCTCTGTAAAAAATATAAATAATAAGAATAAATAAAAAAAATAAAAAAGCTCTATTTTTCCCATTTATTATATCCTTCACTATTCAAATATTGATAACTGAACGGCTTTCAAGTAACCTAACCCATTTGAATAACGAGGGATGCCTGTACCATAGACTCGTCACTCACACCACCCTGCACACAATCACCGAGCCAGAAGTTTGACTGCCCAATTTCTCCTCTTAATTTCATGTTTATAATATAATAATGTATGTGGAAAATTAAATAAACAAAGCTATTCTGTAATCTTAATTTCATGTACAGTACTAATTATATACAGTACAATAAAGATGTAGGGTAATAAGAGAAAGTGTGGAATTTGGAAGTGAAGAAATTTTTGGAGGGGAGAATATTGGTACCACATAAGAAGTGTCAGCTGAGATGAGCCAGATGCCTGGCCAGCTTGCTGCTGGTGTTTGGCTTGCAAACATTTTGATGTGCTGAATTTTTTCTCCTATTGCACCACTTTTTTAATATCTTGAAGCTAGCTCATGGTGAAACTACTGTGTTATAGAATTTTCAGTTCCTCATATACCCTGTACTGTCCTCATCCAGTTTCTGCAGAATTTCCATCCTTTTTTGTCACTTGACATTTTACATTTGTTTTTAGTAATTGTTTGAGAGCAATGTGAAAGCAAAATAAAATAAATTTTAAATAAGAAATCAAGACTCCTTAAAGCCTGATGCTTGGACCCATCAGGGATTGAGCATGAGTTTTTTTTTAATAAAGAACGTATCTTCAATTACACAATGGGAGTAAATGTACTATAAGGGTAACATAATTATTATAACATTGTTTAACATTTCATATTGTTCACTTCGCTTTCAATATCATCCAATTTCTCGTAAGTACAGTTATAAAACTATGACTGTAATGTATTGCATGTACTTCACTTCTCATGCTTATTGTTGGTTCAAAAATCATTGTGTACAGTACACCCAATATTTTAATTTGAAACATATTTTGCAGCATTTTTAAATGTTTTGGGGGATTTTTTTTTTCATAAAAACGTACCTCAGCTTTTATAATGGGAGTCTATGGGAAAGGACGTTTTGATTAAAGAAAAAGTGATTTACGGAAGTCTTTTCAGTAATCGGGGTCTACCTGTAACTTAGGTAAAATTACCTTTACTTAGAGTCTGAATAAACTGACATTATTTTTTGAAAAACAAATAAACAAATAAATACTTCTTTAAGCATTAGCTAAAACATAATTGTTTCTTTAAGCCATGTGATAAGAAAAAATTAAATGCTGTACTGTATCATAAGTGTGTATTATTGTAAATGAAATACTGAAGCCTACACCCAATCAATGATTACATCAGTAGTCCCAAAGCCATCAATGGCTGCCCACCTTGCCATACGAAGATCTGCCAAATGTATCATATTTTCTATCTAGGCTACTTCCTTGTCCACTATCAAGGCCGCTGTAGTCATCACTGAGTCCTCCATTACTGGTGGTGTGGTAATTCCCTCGCTCATAAGCTTTCCGGCCATCCATATACATGTCCCAGCCTCCAACACCTCCCTCCACACTGGTAGGTATACTGCCTGGCGGTTGAGGTTTATAATTTTTTGGCTTTGGCGGTGGGACAGGTTTGTAGTTGTTGCTCTTTGGTGGAGGTAAAGGCTTATAATCTGATGATCTGAGGAAGAATATAGCAGTTATAATTTTCCTACTCAAAAGCATATTTCAAAATCTTTGAAAAAATATAAATTACAAATTCCGGTTTAAGTGGGCATATCTTTGATGACTAATCAAAAAAATTAACGTGTGTAAAATTTCTAACACTAGAACTTTTAGTCATTCATATATTAAAATTGCCCATCAATTATATAAGAAACTTCAATATTTTACCTGTAAGGATCATCTGAACGGTAGGTGGGTGGCTGCGAGGAGGACCGCGAGTATCGGTAAGGCTCGTGTGGCGATCGTGGATGTAATTTGCTTTTGAGGTCATCATGAGCATTGGGACCCAAGGATGGGTTCATCATATCGTAGGGACTCTGAGGATACGTTAAAATATAATTTTTCTTTTTAATTCAGAATAGTTTAATTAGATATGATTAGGTCTGAAGCAAATATTCTGTTTCACCTGGAGTGTAATTAGTTCTCTCACCTTATTCAGGACTGATTATTTCCCACAATCACTATCATATATCTACATCTTAAAGAAAATTTTTCTCTTCATAATTTTCTATAACACAGGGTTTTCCTATTTATTACTTCTCTCTTCATTCCATTACTGTATTACCATATTCCCTTTTCCGGTTTTTCCTGGAAGTTAAATTACTGTTGCTTAGTTCTTACCTTCCACAGATAAACTCATTTGCCTTTCAACTATTCACTCTCTTATTCTTATACATTAAATATGGACAGAAGTTTTTTTTTTTTTTTTGGTGATTAACTTTCAATTTGGTATTTAGCCTAACTTACACACTACAAGAGATACAATAATGATATGTTCAGAATCACTAGCTGGCTCATTACCATTCATTCCAATACTATACTAATGTTCTGGATAATCATGATTGTCTTTATATCAAACAAAGAAACACAGGAAATCACATCATTATGCTCTACAGAATAGCTCACCTTTTTAAGATTATTCCCACCATTTCCAAGTCATAATACATCATTTCCATGTACTGGTGGTAGTCCAAAAGTCAAGAAATTTTATCAGAGTAGAATGGAACTCGCCTAAATTACTTACTTTCCTTCTGTAATTCTATTATTTCATTGACTTGCTACCCTTTAGTTTAAGTGTATGGCCACCCTTGGAAATGTTGAAAATACACACTTTTTTATATTCAAAGAACCTGCTCAGAAAATCTTTAGTCCAGGACTCTTACTGGTTTTATTAACTAAATATATCAGGATCTAATTCTAAATAAAGATTAGGTGTTTAATTCAGCCATTAACACCACTGTAACAGTTACAAAGTCAAACACAAATCCATGATAAAAGCCAAGATTACAGCTTAAGCCCAGGTTAGTAAGACACCTCGGTACCAATCAGGAATAGTGAAGTACCCACCTACTTATTTAGCAATGTCCAACATTACATTTTCCACACAGGAGGCAAGTTGACTTAAAAGCAATTTGCTCTCAGCACTTCAGTCATTATATAACAACTTTAATTAAAACACTAGTTAATAACTTTACTAGTAGGTTTAGCAATCACCCAAGTGAAGCAGCTGCCTTGTTTGTACGACAAAGAATGAAGCTGCTATACTGTAGAGTAGCTGAGAATAATTGTCACACTTGAGAGATGCAAACTACAAAACCAGATGACAGTAAATTAGTGGAGTAAGTAAGAAAAGAAGAAAACCTGTCTTTGATGGAGAAGTTATTTTATTTTAAATTTCTCAGTAGACAATCACCTCCAAGATCCAAGTATGCTATTACAGGTACATCTATCTTGGCTATATTTTCCACAGATATTATAAAAAATAAATGCTATACTGTATGTAATTACTGTACTAGTTAGCTACAAAAATGTGCCAAACTCTCAACCTCTCATATCTGCCATAACAACACCCAAGATCAAGTCCGTGAGGTTCAGGTGGTGAGAACTCCCAGTACATCCAGTCCCATACACTTCACATACTCCTATCTAACATTTGAAATTCAGTCATCATTTTGGTCATTACCCCTTCCACACATTCTAATTTATTTTTCTCTGCAATTTTTGATTTCCTTGCTACAAGTTTATCAAAACACTTTGGTGTTGTGAGCCAAAAGTTAACTTGAACATGATTAATGGGTCACACATGTCTTTGTAATATTATGTGGCCTGTATTTTTCATTGCTTAAGCTCTTAGACCCCCGATTGTTCATTAATGGAGCTCTAGAAGGAATCATTTTAGGTGGCTGCAGATGCTGTGGTAATACCTATCAGATGGTTTATTATCATACAGAGCCTTGCGACATTCACTGACTTTGATGGGCTTTCTTTATTTAATATGATTTTAAGATTTCGTGTTGTAATTGGGTCACAATATATGTGTAAATCTGTCAATGTATGTATGAATGTATATGAGAGTACAAGTCGCCCTTGTTCCTGCCAGCTTCGTACTTACACAGTTTAATTTTTACTCCAATATTTTGTTCACATTTACATGGGTATGCATGAGTCATGGAAAAACATCTTGCACACCAGAACACACCTGGAGCTTGTTGTATGTACACATTTGCTCTACTTGTTGATTTGATTTCATCTTTTGCTAGTGATAATGTCTCTCTAAAGTGTCCTTCAAGTACAGAACCCCTGATGATCCCTAAGACATTAGAAACTAAAAAAAATTGGGGATAATGAGAAGTCTTGAAAATGGTGAATCAGCAGCAGGACTTGGCAGGACATATCAGTGAATGGGTCAAACACACTGGCTATCAAGAGGAATTTAGACAAATTAGGAGTGCTGTTATCAGTTTACACTATTTTCAACCAAGGTGACAACAATAATGAGGAACTGTATTTTAGAAAAAATAAATAAAAATAAAAATAATAATAATTTTAAGAAGAAAAAAATCTAAAGTTGGTACTATTAAGCTCCATCTTTTGAGACAAAGCACTAAATGTATTGGTGAGTAAACCCATTTACAATGTTAAGTCATGTATAGTATCACATTGGAAACATCGCCTCTTGTCCAATCAGCTAAGATAAGCAATGTTGGGTCTGGTTAGAACTTGGATCGATCACCTGACCCTAAAACACCAGATGCTGCTGAAGGACTCTAGTGAAAACAAGCATCTCTTGGCTTTGTCAGCTGTCCTTAGTCAATTGACTGAATATCAATTATTATTATGTCGGAAAATTTAACATTATAAAAAACATTATCAAAATATGGACTGCTGTAGCTAGGAATGTAACCCTTTGTTATGGATAACTGTATTAAATTATGCTGGTTTCATTTATGCCAGCCCTTTCTAGGAATACAAGCCCCGGTATAAATGAGGACAACCTGTGTGCATAGATGTACAATATGCACGTTTAAATATGCAGTGCTGTATATAGTATACTTATTAATTTACTGTACATTAGATTTTAAGTAATTCCTGGTAGATTATGACTGCCACTCAGCACTCCCAAACAACTAACCAGTGAAGGGGACCCACCACACTCCTCCACCACACTATAGTCTTAAATATCATCTCACAAATTATTGTCCAAGGATTTATATTTCAGTCAGGAATGCATCCCCTTCCTTCATGTATATCTATGGTAAAGTGATTTTTCTGTGTGTGTTTGTTTAACACTGCAATTTTCACAACACAAAATTCAAAAAATTCAGATGAAAGATTACTGAAAATTAAAATATCAGCTGAGTCATCATCAGCTTAATACACCCAGGATCTCCATCATCCATGTCAGCAAAAGTCCACCATCTGTCTACTGCTGTGACACCCAGTAGCAGTGACCAGCCTTATATCCTCCTCTCCACACTCTCCCGTAGTTCCTACCTGTTCACGTCTCAACAAACCAACCTTGTTATAAATTTACGTGTTCTCTTGATATTTTTTTAGTTTACTATTGTTTGGGTGTTGATTTTTTAGCAGCCAGTACACAGTGAGTCCATAATCTACCACAGGTTTATGACTGCATAGTTTGCAATCAATTTTCATTCTCCACCCAAAACAAAAAAGTGATAATTTTTCTTATTAAACTTTTACTTCATATGACTATAAAATTTATATATCTGACAACCTTTTCATAAAAAAAATATATTGATTCAAATTTAAGTTAACCCCCTTAAAAATCTAGTTAATATGATAACAAAAAATTTATTGATTGAAAAGTGCCAAAGCTGTTACAATGTCATAAGATAATATTTGTACGAGAGAGAGAGAGAGCGAGAGAGAGAACGAGAGCGAGAGAGAGAGCAGACAGGGAATAGCATTCATTAATTCATGAATTTCGAATTGGCATAATACTGTATATACAGTTAGAAGGAGTGTGTGTAGAATGAGGAGTACTGTCAGTTGAATTTTCTTGGTTTGTTCACTTTTCAATATACAATGGACACTAAAAGCATAAATACTGTATCTCCTTACTTACTGATGTTATAATTTCCCCAATAAAATATGTTACAGATTAGTGTCAGGTGTTTTGCAGTCCATCAAACTAAACAAGGAATTGATCTGAGTGAATCATACATCATATACAAGTACTGTATACAATGCTCTGTACACTAACAATCACAAACTGATAATCCACAGATGAAGTATGATGTTCTGTATGTTTATAAATGGTGATATGGAAATGTCAAGATATGCTGCATCCACCCATTAGACTCCTCAAAGCCACCAATAAAATTCATGTAACTGGCCATAAAAATCCATCTTTTATACAAAAATTTCTATTAGGCCTTGATCTCAAAAGGACACCGATTAACTATTCATTAAACACCATGTCAACAATGGGATCCTTCCTTTACACAGTTTTAAACATGGTCATCACGGTGAGAATGAAAACCTTATCTTAATATGTATTCACAAGGTACAGTCTTGCTCAAGATTCTTCGAAAACTGCTGGAGAGAGCTGGCAACTCAAGGCCATTTGTTTACTATATAGTACGTAGCAAAAATTATGAATAAACGTAAAAGCGATCAGTGATTGGTTATTTAGTTCCCCATTGCTTTGTTGTTTCGTATTATATTATACTACATACTACTATAGTAAAAAAGCGACCTTGAGTTGCCAGCTCTCTCCAGCAGTGTTCGAAGAATCTTTAACGGTAGTTTTTGTTGCTACAGTTGTTCTGAATGACTTCTGTGTTATTTTCATAACACTGCCTCCGAAAGGCAATTTTTTTGTTTTTATACACGCAAAAATCAATAAAAAATAACATACAAATATATGAAATACCTGAAGAGAATAAAATACTGCACTATTAAAGGGTGTGTGCATTATCTTCATCGTAAGGCTGTTCATTAACTAACCACGGACCACCCCACATCTGCTAGGCACTCACCACAGCATCCCAGGTCGGATGTGAGAAGGGTGTTATCCAGCGAGACCCCACCAATGACCGCAGTTTTTTTCCGGGTACTCTAATATCCTTCTATACTAACACTGGATAATAACGGTAATAACAGAGAACAGACTGACTGCCTGACCAGGTAGTAAGACAATTAATGTTAATAATATATTAAAATTATAACCCATTTATATAACTCTTATTACATTAAAACAATTATCAAGTAATATCTACAAGAATACATAAAATAATTATATAATCTGTGGTAATCAGTGATATGCTGAGAGGTGTGTGCATGTTTCCCTTTCATTGCTGTTTGTCAACTGTTGTTCCTTCATGCTAATGTCATTTAATACAGCCTGTAATGTCAATTTCACCTCAACAATGACACTCTTGTTGTTTCTTATACAAAGTCTGTTTGGCAAAGCACTGGCATTTTTTTTAACTCGTTATGCACACTTTTGGGCAATATCTAAAGAAAAAATATTGTAAATTTGTAAACAACTTCCACTACAAGTGTCTCTATACATCTAGAGGGTTGTGTGTGTGTGTGTGTGTGTGTGTGTGTGTGTGTGTGTGTGTGATTAGAATGCTTTCTTACATACCGGTATTTTAAAATATGAAAAACTAATTTTTTTTAAGAAACCTTCAACATTTCACCAAACACAACCTTAATATATAACCAACACAGTTTCAGACAGTTTGCTGAATTTTAATGAATACAAAATTACAGAATTGACGTGATTTTGAAACGTTGGGAAAATTCTATATCCTGGACCAATTCAGTAGACCCAAAGCCCCAATGACATTGAATTAGCAAAGGTTCAATACATAGCTGTCTATTCCTGTATCTTAACCTTTCTCACTTATGCCTGCAAATTCTTAATCAGAATATCATCCACCTTTACAATTTCTGATAAAACCTGCCTAGTCTCTCAATCATTCTTTTCTCTTATCGTCTGATCAAAATTCTCACATTCCCTTTCTTGACTTTCCCTACACCAATCTAGACGACTCTCCTCAAGCACCGTTTACCAGGAGTCAGTCGGAGAATCTAGCAAGGTAAGCTGGTTACCATGATGTCTTTCACCCAACCATTTTCATTTCTTATTGTATTTAGCCACATAAAAGAATCTAATTTTTATATTTTTATCATCAGACCTACAACTTGAATAAGTATGAATGGCAAATGCCTAAGAGAGTATCAGTTAATACAAAAATTATATTCTACACATTCTTTCTGCATATCTATTCCTTCATTCAATATGTCATACACTGTACACATTGTCCTCACTGTTGCCAATCCTCAAGTCACTTCACACATCCTTGCACATTTCAGAAGAAGTAAGAAAATCCTACTCAAGATAAATTAATTATAAAAGTGCTCAAAATCTAAGAAGTTTAGGGTACTACACAAGCCAGGCTCTAAACAAGAAGACGGTTAAATGGAGTGAAAACTATATTTCAGTATCATATCCCATTAAGTTTTATGGCAACCATATTGGAGAAGGATTGCCCCAGGAGCTATGAGGGTAAGATACCACACAGAGCAAACCATCATACAAGAACACCAACCATAAATCTGTACCCATGGATAAGAATGAAAATAAGAATATTAGAGAAAGAAATAATGTGTTAATAGTACCTACACTGCCATATTAATATATAGAGTATATAACATGAACATCTGTATCAGAGAAATAAATATATTCTATATTATGGCATAAATTTAAAACACAGTAATTATCAAAGACTGATAACACTTTGGCTTAAATTACACATGACAGATATACAAAATGTGATGATGTATCTAAAGTAATGATAAACCAATGATGAAACACATGCACAAAATAACAATTCTACCTAGATGAATGACTTCTAAAAACTTGAAGCATGTACAAAAGACAAAACATGAAGGTGACCGTACAGTAAATGCTGGGATACATGCAGTGCTTTGCTACAGCCATTGTGCTAACCTTGTGCTGAGGGTCTACACTGTTGCCACGTCCTGTGTTCATGTAGTTGCCATCATACTCCAGTTCCTTCCCATACCCAAAATCCTGACCGGATCTCACCCTGCCAGGTTTGCTGGTGCGATCTACTTTTGGGGGTATTTCTGGCCCTGATTCATTAGTATGACCATTGAGGTATGGGGGTGGGGCCATGTTTCCTCCTGGCCCTTGTGGGGAATATCCCGCCTGGGGGGGTCCACGGCCAGAGGGGGCATTGGGGGATCGGCGGTGGTGAGGTGAATGCATAGGTGGGGGTAAAGTCTGCTGTGGAGGCCGGCCACTGTACCCAGGTGGGGGAACAGATGAGTATGGTGAGCCAGGTATGGAGCCCATGCCTCCCCCGCCACCCGTGCTGCTGCCTTGCATGCTCGCAGGGGGACGGGATGAGTATAGATCAGAGCCATAGGAACCACCACTGGCAAAACCATACTTGCTGTCACCACCATGAGATTTTCTGCGGTCATCGTAGGCATCATTGGGTCCAGGTTGCTGTAATAAAGGGGTAGTGCAACATGCAGACCACACAATGCTGTGCAAGAAGCTTCACCATGCCATATAGTCACTGACTTTCACATACAGAACAAAAAGCATGAAGTATTAAGGTCTCAAACTAGATCTAATATGTTGCAGGGATCACACAACTGGGGGAGGGGTATGACAGGAAAAGAAAGAGAAAATTTACATTTTATAATTTCTACTCAGATTACTAGATTCATGCTATGTATTTATTAAATGAAATAAAAATTTCTTACTGGATATCAGAAATGTGATAAATAAATATCTAGGAATTGCTACAATACATTCACTTTATTACTGATATAAAAGCTTTATTAATGGTAAAAATGGAGGACTATTGGTATATATAACCAGGCAATGGCTCAAATACTCCAACATTGGTAAAATCTTTAGCCAATGGAGCAGCTATTACCAATGAAACAGATATTTTACCACTGGTAAATGCTTTCTAACAGCAATGAAGATACAATAACAACAGTAGATATATTCAATTGGCACTAATAGTAAATAAATTTACTCAAGATACAGAATTTTGACCTCCAACACAGGTAATACACCCAATAGCACAAATGCTTAATGGACAGCAGAGTTATTTGACCAAGAGAAGTAATACTTTACCAATGGTAATAAAATAGCAATAGTGCAAATAACTTAATAATGGTAAAGATACTAGACAAATCAGAAGAGGTCTTTGATCAGCACTTAATGAGCAACATAATTTTTGATCTAACAGTGACCAAATAAAACACTTCATGCTTTTATGGACTTCCATATACAGTAGACTCTAGGATAAATTTAAACCAAAAATACTTAAAAGCCTGATGTCTTATTGTGATTAATGATAAATAAAAATGCTATCTTAATTTTGTTACTCCTTTCATGAAGAAGTTAAGACAAAATCCCAGTTTTTTAGTTTGGGACTCAGGTGCACAAAACTTATTATGTTGTAGTACTTTATAAGTCATTTTAATTCTGACTTCCTGTAATCATAAAGACTATGACATAAATGCTCAGGTCTTCTAAACTTAAGCATCTTTATTAGATGATGATATATTTGTAAATTCATTGCAGTCAGCATCCCTTTAACGTACATTCAATGTTATGTACATTCACCAATACGTACATTTCATAATGGTACAATATGTCTGAGCTTATATACCTACATCCACAGATAAGCACCCTGCATACTTGCTGAACCTGTTTCTTCTGAAGCACTATGCACTCAATGACCTACTTTGTTTGGTAATTTCCCTTGGGTCATGATCACAGCTGGGTGAGTTTACAGTGTATTTTGTATTGTGATCAAATATTTTTTTATACTTATACCCCACAATACATTTCAAACCAAACACTAAAGTTCAATGGTGCCTTTTCTTTTGGGGCTGGAGCTGTAGCCCCCCAACACTCTACTGGCAGATATAAAATATTGTCATCATGGAGCTGAAACAAGTAATGCCACCTCACACATATATATTACTTGTTTTTTAGATAGTTCAATGAACCAAATAACTATGCAGAGGATTTTTAATGAAAACGATGCAAACACACTTCAAACTTTTTATAAAAATGCCCATTTAGGTGACATTTTACAGCTGCAGGACGGTGCTGCCAGACATGGAAAAGGCAGCATACCTCAGTTGACAGCTGGACAGTGACATTGGGTGTTTGTTTCTCTTGTTCCCTGTGATTTACGTTTAATATACAGGAAAACCCTGGTTATTGCAACGCATGTGTTCCTAAAAGTCATTGCGAATAACGAATTTGCGAATATCAGGGCAATTTACCCCATATGAATTAATGTAATAAGGGGGAGATGCGTTCCCAGTCGGCAACTTTCACCACATATTTTTCAATATACTCTCCTCATTATCCGGGGCTATTAGGGACCAGGGTCATGTGTATACTGTAGTAGCAGTAAATGTGAGGAATAAATAAAAATAATATTAATAAATAAAAGAAAAGAATAAATATCACATTGCCAGTTGGCAATAGTTCCCCAATGCTGCTCCGTTTTCCTCCTCCAACAATCCGCGCGCTAACACCCATGCACGCAAGAAATGTTTATTCCCTTTATGTTTTGACCTTACAAAAACCCTTTTTTGCACAATCTATATGAATGACTATGCATGCATGTAACAGAATATAAAAAAATAATAAAATTATATACAAAGGTCGCTATTCACAACCCCAGTATTTGCAACCCCGCTTATCTGCAATTGATATTTTAACGCCCCTATTCAATATTTGCAAAGCATACTTCACTTTTTCGCAAATAAAATTTTTATACCCTACAGTAATATTTTAAACCACGTGGGCTAGTCACAGCTCTCATATTCCGCTGTAAGGCCCGCTTCACATAAGTGAGTTTTTTTCCGCGTGTGAGGATCTGCGCGGTCTAAAAATTAATGAACATCAATGGGACCGTCCACACAGAGTGCACGCACACACAGTTCTCCCTCGCTCACTCATGCATAAAAGCACACTCACTCGATCACTCATACACAGTGTTCTTTTGTAGTACCTGTATTTTGTAGTTATTTCATTGCAGTATATGGAGTGTACCTGTACAGTATATCAAAAATAGGTTGCCATACAATTAAGAAATATAAAGAGCATGGGTGTGTATGTCTGACAAACCAATATCAGATATGATGTTAACCCTTTAAGGAGTAATGACATATTTAGGAATTTTATTTTGGCAAAGCCACTCAATGGGTTAAACAGAGCCTAAAGCTCAAGTGATATCTACAGCTCATTCCCCCTTTTCAAAATGCCTCACCACATGCATTAATTTTAACTCCACAGAAATAATATGCATGTTGAAAGTACAGTATTGGGCTTTTCATTCAATCAAACAATAATTAATTTTTAACTCACTACAGTACTGCTTGCAGTCTTGTGACTAGCGTGAGGCCGCTGGGGGAACGGTTTCTTTATTTTGTTATTTGAGAAGGAAAACCAACATTCAACTGAGTGTGTGTGTGTGTGTGTGTGTGTGTGTGTGTGTGTGTGTGTGTGTGTGTGTGTGTGTGTGTGTGTGTGTGTGTGTGTGTGTGTGTGGTGTGTGTGGTGTGGTGTGGTGTGGTGTGTGGTGTGGTGTGTGGTGTGGTGTGGTGTGGTGTGGTGTGTGTGTGTGTGTGTGTGTGTGTGTGTGTGTGTGTGTGTGTGTGTGTGTGTGTGTGTGTGTGTGGAAGCAAAACTTAACATTGCCTACTGGCAGGCCTAGGATAACAGAGTGATGAGACCAGGGAAGATATTGTCAAGTTTTCAAGAATCTACAATTATCTGAGATCCATACTCAAGGGTCTGTACCTGTATCAAAGGATGGTTTCTCCAAAGTGTTTCAAGATTCAGTCAAATAGTGGGAAAGGTCCATTTAAAAGGAAGGGAAGTATTGCAAAAAAATTGCAGATAAAATATTATCCCACATCCTTTTCTTTTCTTTCTATTCCATCAGTTGCATTACTTATAGAAAAATCCTTATACACTCAAGTTGTGGTATAAAAATCCCAGCACCATAGGAATAAATCACAGTTAAGTTAGTGGTCGGGTGTCTCCTGGTTGCGTCAATATCCAGTCAGTGGTGACTTAAGCAGTGTTTGATTTGTGGTTTCTGTTTATTTGTGATTTTACACAGCCCACCAAGCCACCAAGGGCAAAAGAAAGTGTTAGAAAACCCATCAAGCTTCAAATTACCACTGACTATAGAAGCTACACGAGAGTGGTTAAAAGAAGCACTTGCATTATGTCAGACTACGAGTGGGTTTACTTTTTTTTTTATATATGCTGAGTATTGTGTGAAAACATAGCTTGTAGTTTCTTCTGATTACACCTTTAGATACTTTACACAGAAATATACCTGGCAGCCCTCAGAGATGCTACACACAGAGATCAGGCTCTTAATGGTATTTTCAGCAAAAGCTATACACCTCTGTAGATGTATGGTACAGTATCTCACTTCATACTAAATGTAAATTAAAAATAAAGATGCTTTTTTTATATTACTTAAAAGTTTCATCAAATTCCACTTTTTCTAAGATACTGTAGTTTTTAATGAATACACTAGAGTCTTCTGTATTGTGAAGAAAAAAATCATAAATGGAATTGACACAAATATTTATCATTTATTAATAGTGAAAAACAAATTAGGATGACATATAAACTGTACGATCATCATAAAGCTAAAGCATAGTGAATATAATGCTCTAGGTCTAGCAAAGGAAAACTGGAAGCCAAACAAATCAAACAATGAAAAACACTTACAAGTCTAGTGGGGCTGGCTGTGTACGGTGGTGGTCCTCCATAAGGATTTGGTTCCGTTTCCTCTGGTGCAGCTAAACTGGGATCTGATGAGCTTTTGACCAGGCGACCTCTAGGCTCTCGAGAATCTGAATATGGATTGTGGGAGGGAGGGGGCCGATGGGGGGATTTTGAAGGAGTGCGGGATTCAGGTCCAGTCTCTAGGTCAGACTCAGGAGATGAAGCATAGGATAGGCGAGAGGTCATGGGGAAAAGGAAGTCGTCAGACAGAGCCTCAGTGGGCTGTTTGAGTGGTATCACATCATAAACACAGGACCAGTTGTACAGTGAATTGAGATATTACAGTCATTTGTACAGCAGACCAATTCCAAAAATTTACAAATGACGTGATCACAGAGGTAAAGGAGTGGACAGGCGGATGAAAAGGACGATGCAACATGAACCACATTCCGAGAGCACGGTACATGGAAGAGAAAAGAACATTGGGACAAGTTACAAATATGTAGACCCAACTCTAGTACAATTACAGTATATATTTAGTCATGAAAATAGGACTAATGCAAATTTCCAGAAAACTTTCATATCATAAATCTAATGTATACTACAAAGGATTATATCCTCATTTAAATCTACAATATCATTTTGAAATCTCAACAAGCTAAATTCAAAAAATCTCTGTAGAAGGAAATAGTGCTGTAATAAAGAGCATGCACTACAAAGACAATTACAAGTAGGGTAAATGGAAGCCACATGCAAAACTAATACTACAGAAGAAATCAACAAGCAATAAACTAAGAATAGAGAGATTAAAATTACTGAATGTTTGTTAGTCAAGACTATTAAGGGAAGGCTGGCTCCTGATTACATTAAAAAACTAATACATTATTCATGAGACAGAAAATAAATGTACGAAGTCAATGATATATAAGGGTATCATATATAAGTGCGCTCTTCATCAATGGTGAATAGCCTTTTGGTGGGGAACGAGGGGTAGAAAGAGAGAGTGGATGACAGAGCCATTCTCGGAGGTGGAGGTGGGGGTGGTGGTGGAACAGACGAGCGTATGGGCAGTGGCGGTGGGTGAGGTGAAGACTGAATTTGTCTTAATGGTGAAAACCTGACAGGCACATCAGGGGGTTTTCCCTCTTCTGGCATTACAGATATGTGGCCATTCATTTTGCCCATTGGGATTTCTTCCACTACAATCTCAAAGGATGGATCACCTATATCTTTCTGAGCATCATTGTCTACATCAGGATAGAAGTCCAGATCACATTCTTTGTTGTGGTTAAATAGGGAATTGAGTTCCTCCTCAGAGCCACTTGGGGAAGGGATTAGGGGAAGCAGGTAAACATCAGACAAAAATTCTATGGGCTGATGTAGGTTCACAAACACAGGCAAAATTATGCACAAGATGCATTAGTAGCCATATCAGTTAACCAATGAGTAAATATATCACCAAAACCATATAAAGACAGTCATTACATGAAATAGGAAATCATACATATTTATAAAAAATCATTACATGGGAATACCACAAGTTATAGAACAATTATGCATCACATATAGGAGTCAAGAAGTGACATAACATTCATTAATCATTCAATTATATTAATAATATGAAGAAAAATAATGCACAAGCAAAATAAAAATTCAAAACTCAAGAGAAAAGCCATGCATGAGACAAATAACAAAGAAGATAAAGAAAAGCACGGGGTCATGGGGGAATGAAGAAACAAACCACCAAATTAGTACCAATTAAAGAGGTGTACAGAATGAACCTAAATCCAGTTAATGGTGAGGATGAGTGAGGCCAACATACCAACACTTACTAAAAGCTTTCACGCAACTACTGGGTGCAGTGTGGAAGCACGTCAAAAGCACCCTAAAAGGTACAGCTATCTCAACATTCAAGTAATCTACTCCAATCCTGATTAATGATATACTCATGAAAGCATTACATATGACCAAGTCTCTTACTGAATAAATCATTAAAAAAATAAAGACCATAAGGTTAACACATATCAATGTCTGTTTATCATAAGTACATCACCAATAAGGATAGTTAAGATGGATAATTTGTTTAAATACAATTAGTATACAAAGTATGAATAAATTTTTTGAAACAAAATTAATCTTAAGCATTATTCACATGTTAATGAAAAACATATTTAAAGAATATAAAATAAATAATAATTAAATTTCATGGTGTGAAGGGAGTACAAATGATGTACCAACTGGTGAATTCTACATACAAGTGCTTATGTTGAGGAAACTACAGTACTTCTACTGCCAAGTACAATGCTGGCAACAAAGAATGAGGGTCATAACAATTCTACTGAAATATTACCTCAAACCAACTGATACAGTCTAGCTCAAACATTACTCTTAAGTATGGTTGTAATGAAAATAACTTTTACAGAACTTTATATAATTTTCTAGATCAAATAAAGTTAAAATAACAATACAGTATCAAAAATCATTCTTTAACAGAAACCAACTACAAGGGAAACCATTAAATGCTTTAATGAATCCAAGAACAAATATATATTGCTAATTCTTGATATAGGCATTATAATATCAACCTCCAAATGGGTTGATTTATCATGAAAATGAAGGCATCTTAGTTTTTCAAACCTTTATGAAAGAGAAATTTTATATTTTATAAAAAAAGGACATCCATTCTTCAACAACTACTTCTTTTGTTAATATAAATGAACTTAAGTAAAGCAAAAGTAAAACACATCACTCTGGATTCTCACAAATTACTCTTCTACTGTTCAAAAGCAGAATTGGATTTTTAAAAGTAATATTTTTAAACTCTTTGGCAACTACCCCTTAATATGAGTGATACAATTAGTGACCCAGACTGCACCACAAACATGGACGGGAGATCAAGACTCGCAGGGAAATATTGGTGGTTGGTTACTATTACGCCTCTGCCACATACAGTAACAAAGACAAAAGTCATAAATGACAAACAAGCTTACCTTAGTCTCAGACATCCAGATGGGTCCAGACTGTTGTTTGTCAACAATCTCACGAACTTTACGGAACCAAGCTTCAGGTTGTGTGAGACTAATTGTGGCTGTGAAGATATGCGACCACAATTTCTCCAATTTTACACTTTGGTCAAACAGCTTCTTACTACTCATCCTGCCCCTGCAATTTATAGAATGTCAAAAGATATGAAGATGAATGACAAGAAAAACAAACAATAACAAACTGATCAAAGAATCTTCTGCAGTCATGTGATTAATTCCTGAACAGTAAAAATATCCAGGAACACTGGATTTAAATGAAACAATAAAGTTTTGTGCTACAGTATCCTTTAGTTTAAACAATGCCTGAAAATGAGGGATTGATCCTGAAATACCATTTCATTACTGAACTTAGATAGAACCCATGAATGTGTTCAGTGAAGGCCAGGGTTTGGAAGCCCAGGATAACCCTTACCTTCAACAACTGGAGCTAAGGCAAAGATTAATTATCTACCCGATAGTCATCTTAGCTCTTAACCCTTTCGGTTCACCTATGTATCTCATACACTTAGGACCAGAAACCTACTTATGCTTGTTTCCTGCCCCTTTTCAAACACCCTGGTGGAAGGACATTTACTGTATCAGAATGCACATCTAGCAACTGCAAGAGTAGTGGTATAGGGAAATATAATTAAGATAAAGTTTACCGTGAGTATTTAAACAACCAGACGCCAGAGGGAGATGACGGGAAGATGGAGCAGCCTAAAATATCACACCACTACAGAAACATTAAAGGGACTGCAGATGCTAAACAAGAATTATTATATTATATTTTTTTATGGCTTACAACATTTAAAAAAGAAAATCTTTCGGGTGGAGGTATGCAAAAATAGACAAAGCTTGAGAGTGAAAAAGTTAAAATGGGGATCCCAGAAATCACAGCTGCTCTAAGACTAAGACCTAACAGGTCATGGTCATCAGAGAGTGCATGTGCAACCCATTCTTCACTTGTTCAACTAAAGTTACAAAAGAGGAGAATATGCCTTAATCTATTCTCTTGAGGCTTAGTTAAAAAAATGGAGTTTCAAAATCAATTCTTTGTTTATAAATTATGCCTGTCTAGAACAACTCATGAATACAGAAGTCAGTACTGTGCAGAAATAAGAATATACAGTATACTCTACGTCAGGTGACTTCAGGTAAGTTTATTGAAGCATTATACTTATTTCAAAATTGCAAAACTTTATCTATGCTTTCCACCTTTTTTGTTTTTTTTAGGTAATTTAAATACCTGCATATTAGAATAATTTGAAATTTTGGGCTAAAGTATGGAGTGATCACCTTCAAATGTACAGCAGTGCTTTAACACATCAGATGACTTATTTAGTAACACAAGTGAGGTAAGTTTCTATGGTTTAATTCCCCCATATTAATGAGGTCCCTCTCTCTATCTCCTTCATGGGTGGTGTGAAGTACCATTATATATATATATATATATATATATATATATATATATATATATATATATATATATATATATATATATATATATATATATAATCCATATCCTATCATAAAACAATATTACTGACTCTGGATTATTCAGTCATATACAGTGGGTCAAATTATGTAAACACCATTAGCCTCATATAACTCACTTTGGAAAACCACTACGTAGTTCTTTTACAATTTGCTTTGATTCTGCCCTCAGGAAAATAACAATTGGGTAGAACTGGGCATAGTTGAGCCGATCTACCGCATTTGGAGTGATGTCAAGGACTGCGTGTTTACCCCGATCCATTATCTCCCGGATTGCGCTAAGCCGGATTATGCCGGAAGGTTTCTCCCCACTGCTGTCCAATTCTGAAATGTTGGCCCAAGCATGATGGATAAGAAAATAAATAAATAAATAAACACCATACATCAGAAACAACATTCTATAGATGATTATGAGCTGAGGTGTACAATGACAACTAACAACATCAAAACTATTTTACCTGTTATTCTTCTGATTCCTGTAAGATTAACCCGGAAAAAATTATTAAAACATCCAACACACATAAGTGACAAAGGACAATCATCAGGATTACAGGGACAGAAATACAGGCAATATAAGAACCACCATTATGGAAAAAAAAAGAATTAAGATGCATGAGAACTGCAATTAAACCTGAATACTTTTGTAGATAATTCTCAGAGCATATTTTATTTCTGATAAATAAATGAGAATACAGTTACTGTACTTGTTCTATGAAATTAACATTAGCCTCTTATCAGTAAGTCAATTTAACATAGGTCCTACACAGGATACCACAACATGTTTAAATGAGGGATTGATCTTGATATCTTCCTCTTTTTTTTTTGTAAGCAGATGATCCGAGAACCATATTATATCAACGACCTCCAGCAGTAAAGTTTTGATCATATTAGCCAGACTTCACACTGTAGTCATCTTTCCAACACATCTGGATTTAGTAAATAAAAGAAAAAACTCTAAAAGACATGGATGATGCAAGGTTATATTGTACTGTATTTGGAGGATGATGGGCAATAGCAGAAGCTTCATTACACTAAAATATCTCCAGTCCCAGGTCATCTAAGACAATAATTAGTCTGGTAAAGCAATATTTACTGTACATATACTGTACTTTAATAAAAAAAAATAAAAAAAAGAGATTGTAACTTATATTTGTCCTCTTAACCTCAGCAGGAACATGTAATAATAAAGAAACTTTCAGGAAAAACAGCAGATGAGACCAAGATCAGCAGTAGTGGGATGGACATCAGTGGTAAAGCCAGATTTGACTCCTGTTATGTTTTTAGTGTTGAATGGCAAAATCCATATCATTCAGATATTATTTTCTTTTAGAACTGAGATTCAAATATGTGATGGCAATATATGTAGAGACTGTAGTGTAACCAGTATGATCAGAACATAATATGGTAACGATCACAGACATTGTGTTTTAATATATATTTTATGCCATCTATGTAGCTAATGGTACTAAATACATTGAAGAGCCAGATATTTACTTAGAACAACAATAATTTGAAGAAAAAATTATAAATATGCATCCTAGGCAAGAGCTAATTTGGGACTTTGAAATTTTGCTTAAATCATATTAAACTTTGTGCTACTTCTTCCCTATTTAAATATTACATTTAACTAATTACTACAGTATCAACAATACTGTACAAATGGGGAATAAAGCATTTTCAAAGCCACAATACATTTTCCTACAACAGTAAGTGTAAAATATGCACTGGTCAAACACACAGCATACAAAACACACAAACTTCAGAAAAGATTACAGTATCGTTATTTTTATAGCATACTAGTTTACATTTATTCTATGCAATAATTACCAGCATACATAAAACTCAAAGAATTTGCATAGCTAAATAAAGAAGAAATATTGTACGATAGCATCAAATCAAATGTTAAGATGAATATCATGAAGTGTATCATGCATAAGAAACATTATCTACAGTACTACAAATAAAAACACATAAACACTGGCTGGAAACATAACAAGTAGAGATGAAAAATAATTATATTTTACAAAAAGAGCAACATGAACTGTGAACACCAGCAGCTGACAACTTATCCATAAGGATTGGCAACATAAAAATAAAAAGGTTAATGAGCATTCAATAGGAATCATATTGAAGATAAACAAAAAAAATAAAACATTATGATTCTCCTTTACACCAATTCCTACTTTTATCGAGGTGGCACTGCACTGTACCTCCCTGGCGAGAAGGATTAACTCAGTCTGTGGCCTTCACCTGAAGAGCTACTCTAACAAAACAACCTTAACTATTCCTTGCCTCACAACTGCATCTAGTGTAATGGAGTACAAATATACTGCAATAACCTTGGACAATCACACTAACTGAGCTAGCTATATCAAGTTGTCTTCTTCCCTTTGCGCTATGAAGAAATAAAAGACAAATATAAGTACAGTAATTCAGGTAACCATTTTTCTATCTAACTCAACGGTGGACAGGGGAAACAGTATCAAAATAAAATGTAACACAGCAGCACAAATTATGGTTGAGTCTGCATCACAAGCTCCATTTTGTTGACTTACTTCAACAACAGTTACAATATCTTATAATGAACCTGAGAGGTTATTATTCTGAGCATGAATCTGATTAAGTCTTATAGATTGCATTTCCTTATTTTCTTTCTCTGCACTGTGTGAGTAAGGTGATATTCTTAAAGAACCAGTACAGTACTTTTCAAGGTTAGGATTTGATAAAGGACAAGTCACTAAAGATTCTGCCTCAATAGTCACATATTTAGTCCTTAAAATTATAAGACCTCATCAAGACCCAACTTTGAGACAATATCATCTCTCTGCATTTGCTGGGTTTTGTGTCAGTAATCAGTGATGTGAAGAAAGACTTATTAGTGAGCAACAGCAAACAAAATTATCCAAAATTAAAAACTGTTGCTTTCAATATCCTCATTAAAACCTTAAGTTACGATAATGGAATTATGAATATTAACACTGTATTAATCATTAATCTTCCTAATGAACAGTGACTGTCAATGTATTCCGTCACTGCAAGCAAATATTTGGTGCAATTATCATTAACAACTGATTAGAAATTAAGATTTCTTAAAATATTTTTCATTCGAGAAAGATTTGGGGAAAGAAAGATGGAAATAATCCTAATCATGCTGAATATAAATACAATACCAAGCCAATTCCATTGATAAATGGATTACTGTACTGTACACTACCAGTGAAAAATGTAAAACTGTACGAGATCATAATATAGCTCTCTGATACATACCAAAGGTTTATATTCACTTGTCAAGTTATAGAGTAAATAGAAACAGAGGAATGTATTATCCTTAAACTCTCAATAGAATGATTCACAACAGTTAAAAAAAAAAAATGAAAACAGGAAGACAGTATCCAGGCTATTTTATGATCTTCCCTTTATCTTACTACGGCTTAATATGTCAGCTCAACAGGCCAAGGGAACACTGGGAAGAATGGCTATCATGAGATAAACCAGTTATAGACTTCATAATTAGAATAAATTTTGCTATAATCTTCAACAAATACATATGTATATGTATTATTCAAAATCTGCACTACACCTTAAAAATTTGTAATTCTCCTATATGCAAATTTAGAGATCAATCAATAATAATAATCTGGGTCAATCACACCATGCGTGTCAAAAATGCTGGGAGGAGGTGCACTCTGTAACCATTTATTTCCTTACCCCGGAGTGAGGGGTACGGATACCCCCCGTAACACGGAATTGGCATAGTGAGCCGCATGTATATTCCTGAAAGTACCAAAGCGAGGAAGCTTCTTCATTAAGCTGGTCACAACTCTCTATTTGGGCCTTAAGCTAGGGGGTTGGTCCTCTGTGAGACACTAATATATTAAGCTGAAACTACATTTCATTTAAAATTTATAGCAGGTATTCAACCATTAATAAAACGTACCTTTTGAAGTGAAAGAAGTCTTATCCTTCGATGATATGGAATGATCTTTACAGTACCAATGGTGCATGCTGCTGCTTCAGTACGTGTTTACCCTCCAATAGTGACAACCCCAACAACACACAACCAAACCAAATTTTTAGCTCTTCATTTCAACAATCAGTACAAGACTCGAGTTACTCAGGAGGTCGGCTTGATCCTTTAAGTCCCAGCTACATACAGAATATATATGTCTATGACTGTCCTAAGTAAAGCTACACACAGGTACAGTACTGCCATACAGTATAGTTAACATATATCATATATAATTTACCCTCAAATTCACAACTGATGCCAGGGTGACACAGGGGAACACAGTAGTCTAAACTATCATACAGCAAAGGAAGTACACATAACAAAGACTCTCCAACAGTTAAAGAAGATTGTTTTATTAATTTATTTATGCTTTACTTCGTTCAAGTTTCAGTGTAACATATTATTAATTTATAAGATCAAAACACCTTTTTAATTCATATATTTATTCATTAATATATTTAATCTTCCTTAACTTCAGACTAGTGGAACCATCCTCTTGTGATTAAGGTCACGATTGTAAAAGATGAAAAGTTTTACGTTAAGAGCCATTTACCTAAGAAGGAGTCTCACATTATGTTAATTTTCTGTTGTGAAATATTAAAATCTCCTAACAAAGGGGAAAAATTCTTGTATAATTTAAAAGTTTCATCAATTTACATGAAGATAACTAAAGTTCAAAACCTCCCAAAGTAATGTAGTCCTCAATCAATTATCTTTTCAATAGATGTTCTTATAAAGTTCATAACTTTTAGCATTTATTCAATACATAATTGATTTTTTTTTTTTGGCCAAACTGGTCAACAGAATCAAAGATATTTTGATGAATAAGCTGAAGAAGAGATAATATGAAGGATTGATCCTGAAGTTAAATTTTATGGCAGTCTAGAATTTGGGGCCTTGAGTGCAATGCTCACACAAATCCATTGGCCTAAACCCGGTACACCCACATTTATGGCTGTGACTAATCTAAGCCATTAGCACACGTCTCCACTATAACTGTCATCCTGAGACTGGAGAGTTAAAGCAAAGGTTTCCTTTACAGACACTAGAAGGCGGTCACATTGGCTTTCCAGGCAGCACTTCCCATTCAGTCCTCAGACAGAATGAGGACTTCTGCCTGGAAAACCAACATGGATGACCTACATGAAAGAGCTGGATGCATACTCGCTAATGTAATGTCAAAAGCTCATTCACTGGCCTCCTGCCCTCTTTGGTCTATGAGGGGACACCAGTGATTCTACTCTCCCTTTTCAGGGTGAAGGTTGCAACTGGGAGGTATACTAGATGCTTATTTGTCCCAGTCATTAATGTTGGGAATCCTGGCTCTTCAATGGCTAAGTGTGTGCATCATAGTGAAGGGAAGGTGACCATAAAAGATTCTATCAAAGTTTCACATATAGTAGGGAATTGCAGCTAGGATGTACTTTCAACATAATTTGGAGGTCAAATTACTAGAAATTTAATAAGAAAACTTAGTTTCTGTGTCTTGTGTTTCAATTTAAAGAATTATCACTATTAGATCCAAAACATCTTGTTTCAGCAAGCAGCATGAGCCATAGCTACTGTAAAGACCCTTCCGTGGAACAAGCAAAGAAAAAAGGTATTCACTAGGTCTGTGCTTTCTACTACAATATGAATTTCTTTTTCTTTATGCAAATGGTGCATAGTGCTAAAGTGGCCCAAAAAGTGCAGGTGCAACAAAAGTGCAGTGATTATGTACACAGTCTTAACTCATCTGAGAGATGAAATTTTTAAACATTCATATTAACAGCTGCCTAAAAAATGTGGCAACAAAAGACTGACTAGCACATGTCAAAGCTTACACAAAAATAAGAGATGATACATTAATGAACCTGATTTTAAAGCATACAATGTGCCCAAAACTAATTATAATTAAGTTAATCAATATTATCATTATATACAGTGTACACTACAGTATATCAAAAACTAAATATAAATATGTCGTGCCTTTAAAGGCAGGAAGCAATCATGTAAGGTGAATCTTTAGGTACAAAATGCATGAGACACTAATAAAAATAAAGTTACATTAATAATCAACAATAAAAATACTCTAAAGCAAGGATCTATGGTTGTTGTATGAGATCAAGATCTTTCCCTATTTTCCATCTAAAGAATAATGGAAACAAAACTAACACAGACGTTGATATTTGTTCACGACTAATCCCCTCACGTAAACTTACGTGGAGAAGCAAACTTGTCGGGGTTTTCCTTGAGGAGTTTCTCTCGTGCTATGTCGGAGAGGGGACCAAACAGGACGATGGGCCTCACAAAGCCAGGGTGTCGAAGAGCTACTCGCTCATAAGCTGGAAACTTAGATACTGAGTCTGCAAACACCACATCTTCCCAATGATCCTATTAGGAGAAAGAAGTGAGAGTAAATTGTATTGCCTTAAATATATGTATATATTGTATCTAAATATGATCTGAACATTAATGTACTTACTGTAAATGTAATTTTGATAGTGTAGTGGTTGAAGTGTATCACTGACATAGGCTATGCACTGCCCCTCAAAGACAAACCTAGGTTCCCGGTTAGTACTGTACTTGATAATAAGCAAACTAGTAGAATAACGTGGCATCTTATCAGAATCATTAATTAAAGCTAAACCTGTCAAACTGTCTTCCAGTGAATGAGGTAACGACCTTCTGGATAAAAATTTTTTTTGAATGGTCAAGGGACTTGGAGTGAATGATACATAAAACTACTTTATTCTTAACTTAAGTATCTCATTGGGTGAAATCCTTTACAAAACACCAGCCCTCTAGGCTCACTCACCTTCCCCAAGGACTTAGATCTCCGTGAATTTCTCCGCCTCTTGAAGAAGCCGCTCCGCGACTCTGACTGTGTCTGCTCTTTCTTTGCAGCATTAAACTGAGCTGTAGCCAGTTCCTCTGCTCGAGCCTTGTTAGGAATTATACCCTTTTGAGTTTCTTGATTGTTGCGGCCAATTCTGTGAACCTGTTGTAAGAGATTTAAAACTTAATTTGGATGGGATCATTTTCGTTTCCATTGGCTGAAGACTTGGAGGAAAGAAAAAAAATATGTCATCTCATCTTAAAGTTTAGAATTGGTTGTCACTCTTGACTAGTGCAATATCATCTAAGCAACCTTCTGGTGCATCTACTAAACATTCTAGTTATCCACTGATGAAGCAAAGGAATACCACTTTAACATTAAAAGTTAAGTGTGGTCTTACCTGCCATGCCCCCACAACACCATTATGTAGTGTATCCACCACTCTGAAGATGTCTCCCGAACGGAAACTTAATTCTGATTTTCCATTAGGCTCATAGTGGAAGTGTGTCCTAAAAAAGAAAATTGTTTAATTTCATTAAAATGAAGATTAAAAGTATACTGTACATGAATCTTCAAACATTTATGAAATATGAAAGTACTGAAAATACTGTATTAACAAGATACTCTGAAAAATATGAACAGATCCCAGACACCATATTTACAACCACTGACCCAATTACTTGCACGATCACCTGAATTTTACTGTTTTACAAAGGACAACTGAGAATAAATATATAAAAATAACACCTGGGTAAGTATGGCAGCAGTACACATGAAATGTGTTCATAAACACCAGAAAACATTTAGATGCCCCTATGTCAGAGCAGGTGCTGAGCAGAAAAAATCTGGGTGACAATGGGACAAGGTATAAGTAGTGATCCTGATGAAATCATCTTGTTGCTGAAATCAAATAAAGGAGTGAATCAGAGTGTGTACATATCTGTGCTCAGCAGCAATAACTCTTCAGCCTTCTCCCTTTTTGGGATACCTTCCTGCCATTGGGTACACTGTATGTACTTAAGGAATTTGGTAATATAAAGGATAGTTTAATCTTTTAGTCTTCAGTTTTTAGACTGTAGTCATATACTTTGGGCCCCAGTGGCCTGGGGCTTCAATTCTTATGACTTACTCAATCCTGATGTACTGTATGGGTGCAAAATAAACAGCTTCATCCCTGCATGGAAGACGAAAACTACATCAAGAATGTGTAGTCTGAAGAACTCGAATTTATCATTACTTACCAGTACACTTTTACTTACTGAGGTGCAGTGGCTGAGTGAATACAGCACTCTCTTTCTGGTTTGTGCCCAGAGCACTCCCCAATTCTCCCAGATGTAAGCAGGTATAGTATATATTGAACTTTACAGTTGGGGAAAGTGAAGGATGTTGAGTGCAGTGTCAGCCATGCAGGTTTAGTCTATCATCTATCCTCACTGACCCTAACAGGCCATCAAGCCTACTAGATCCATAACTCACCACTGTCACCTTCTGTAACAAAGCTGTCTTCCTTTAAGGTGACAAATACTAAAACATTTTTCAGTACTTACTTAATATAAAATAGGTCTCCTTTCTGACTATTCAGGATGCACTCATAGTCATGTCTACGTGTCTGTACAATAAGGTCGATCTGATTCTGAAGACTCATGAGGTATAGGACTGCCTCCTCTCTCGTCACGCCTGCCATGTCCATGTCGTTAACCTGATAAACAATGGGTTCTCTTAATATTATAATAATATCCAAGTTCACAGGTAAACATTGATTTAAAGGAAATTAATAGTAATTGCATGTGATATATCCTAAAACTATTTTTCTAATTAAAAGCACAAACACATCACATTCAAAGCATGATGTTAACTACTGTAACTAGACTACAGTACAGATCATTACAGTCATGGTAATCTTTGTATTTAAACTCATTCAAGATGTAGAAATAATGCTTCACCCATCCTTCGCTCACAACTTGTATTCAAGAAGTGCAAATGTCTATACTGTTTCTACTTCAACTTTCAGTATAAACAATAGTAACAAAGTGGACGCCCTTCTGGAACTCAGGTGTTTCTTTGTGCATCAGTTTCAATTCTTGACAATTTCAAACTACTGTATAAATTACCGTACACCTCATATGTACAGATGTTACAGTGATTAACATAATCCATAAACACTTTCATAAGGTCATGATGACAGTTGCAACTTTCTCCTTACATACCTTCAGTATTTTATCGCCTGGTATAAGCCCTTGGAGCTGAGCTTGGGACCCTGGCTGCACTGCCGTCACGAAAATTCCCACCTCGTTGCCGCCGGTAAGTCGAATACCCACACTCCCCTCCTTCTTGAAGCTCACAAAACGTGGGTCTGGTCTACAGACAATGCAAAAAATAAGTCAAGCTCTAAAAATATTGAGAGCTATCTTTTATTATTCATCTGAAACCAATTTATACCTAAAATTCTTGTTCAACTGTTTTAGCTTCATGAAATTTTTCATAAATAGCAAAAGTACTTATGTAGCTCACATTAATGATTCCATTATACCAAAAAAAGAAAGAAAAGGAAGTATTTGAAATTTGACTGAAAATAGTGTCATACAGGTACTTATAAATTTACTGATAATTAGTCAAGTTAATAATAACAATATTGTACTGAGATTCATCAAGGTTATAAGAAAGAATACTCTATATTCTGACATTATTTGGATCAATATAATTTACTGATGTATTCTTGTAATGACAACTCTATTTACCTATACAGTCTTGTTCAAGTTTGCTGACATGGTTAGAGGAGAAGTTAAGAAAGCAAGAGAACCAGCACCAGTTATGGTCTCTGATATGGCAGTGTGAGAGAGAGGCAAGGCCAACCTGCTACCCTTCAACAGTAAAAGCAGCACCTAACAAAGTAACAGACACAACACATTTGATAAAAATAAAATTAAACCATACCAAAATAATACTGTAGTAGATTCATATTGATGTTTTCTCATGCCCTTATCACTCCTTTAAGACAGGGATATAACTCTACCGTTCTAACAAATGGCTTTTCTTCATTTATCAAATAATTAACAGCTAAGATCTAATAAACACATACAGAAGGCACTAGTACCTTCTACTATGTCTCCAAAGAACAGTAATGAGGTCGTAACTGAGGGTCAATTAATATTTAACAGCAGAGAAAGTTTTGTAATAGAATGGTCACTTTGGTACAGTCCTGGCCACCAACAAAGGCTACATGCAACCACTGACTAACTACATGGTCCCACATACAGCTATTATGCTGAGAAATAAAGTATGCGAGGTTAATTTAATTCCTTACACAACAAAACTCTGAAGAATTCAACTCAACCCACAGAAGCAAAGCAGTTAAAGTACTGTAACACATAGTTATTTCAACAATTCTCACTCACTGATAACAACTTCTAATAAACCTAAACCGGGGAAATGAAGAATCCTAAAGAGTGTTCACTAGAATGAAACTTTCACATTGTACATATAGTATTCAGAACTAAGAATTTACCACGGGAACAATGAACAATCCAATACTTTGTTATAGTGAAAATAATGAATAACAATTACATTAATGTGAGAAAGATTCAAGACAATGTATTGTAAATATCAACTTAGAAATCAAACCCACACTAAAAGACAGAAATTTATATGAAAACAGTTTACCACATTTGGGCTACAGTGTGTTTGTTCTCTGTGGCTTGGCTTTAAACTGAAGAGGATATCAGTGGACAATGAATTTATAATGTTTCAATACAAGTTTCTGTCTTTCAGCCACAGTCAATAACAGAGAAGTGGGGCAGCTTTAATTCTTACTGTTACTAAATATCATGGAAGTTCTTCACTAGCACAATACTTTTTTATATAAGAAAGTTTGATAGCTCTTTGGATTTTTGCTTACATATAGGTTACGGTTATTAACACTGACTCAGGTAGTGTATCAATTATCCGTGTCTCCTAACTTCAGAAATATCCAAACTTGGGCTATTTGAACCTGACAAAATATATATTAACTTGATGTCAATCGCCTGATGTTAGTCTTTTAGTGCTTCATTGCATTACTTCACATTACTCATTAAATCATACTGCAATATGTTTATAAATTTGTTCCTGTACATACATACTGTGTAAGATACAGTACGTTAATTAATACACCATGAAACTTACACTTGTCACCAACCTCACACACACCCATACATCATCTTACTGTTACCTTGTACACAGGTAAGTACATTTCTTAACGTAACCAGAAACAAGCTCGTGTCCAGTCCCTAACTAGCCAGATAATTGACACACTATTGTACCTGTATTCTTATAAGGGATGATATCCTCAAGTGGATTACTGTACAGTACCTCACAGTCGCCTCTCTACCACAAGTCACTTCTAATAAAACTCATGTTAATGGTTTTCAGTGACCTTATAGTTTACAAATATTTTATCTTCACACCTGACTCAACTTGGTCATATGTACATATTTATGAATTATCATAATTCCAAATACAGTATATGATAAAGAAGGCTATGGAAACTCAGGTAAAATATTTAGTACTGTACTTACAAAACCTTTTCAGCATGGAGTTTTTTATATCCTACTCATCATTTTTTATGGAAAATCAATATACCATACATACCTGCATATGTAAATTAAAGAGAAATTTTTAAATAAATTCTTTAGTTTACAAACTTGTAAGAAAATACAATAAAATGATATATTATGTTTTGTGACCCTTGCTTAATTATGGTCATCTGGCAATGAAATTATAAATGATAAAAGTTTTATTTTTTTTAAATATCATAATTTTTCTCAATACCTTTAGTATTTAGTAAACCTTACTATTAAATAAAGATGACTTTTATTTATACCACAGATTTTGTACCTAAAAAAGACCAGCTTAAGCAAATTCAGTAGAAGCGAGGTACCATAGGTTTACATGGTAAAAGGAGGGTTATAGTCTCATTCACATACAAAGTTCCCCTTTTTTTATGTTGATTCTGCACTGTACAGTATTAAGTTTTCATGAATACACTACTGTGATAACAATTTAATAACTACTGTACTTGTATATAAAGTACATATGGTACTCTAAACTTAACTGATCAAATATTACAAATGAATAATGTATGGTATAATCAACTCAACAATACAATCTGTGGTATTCTGCATGAGGAGAGGCTGGTGTTAGGTTATAGAGTACTGTACTACTATAGATCCCATCAATAGCAACAAGCAACTCAGATTATAACTCTCAAATAATATGGTACATTTTAAATACTGTACTGCTATTACTCCCTGGTCCATTACTTAAATAAAGGCAGTGGTGATGGACAAAACAACCACTGAAGCATTCCTGTGGAGTAACACCTTGAAACTGTATAACAATGGTCTTAACAATGGTGGATGCTATGTTAGTAGATCCCAATCCATTTTTGGTAGCAGGGAAAACAAAGACCCTAAACCTATCTTGAATATTTAGTGTCACATTGGCAAGTTTTCTGTATGTCTGTTGATGCATATAAGTGTGAAATGACTGAAACATTGTGATTTTCTGTGATTTGCTGCTTAACCCAACTAAACTAATCTAATAAAAAAATGCCTCTGGTGTCACAAATGCTACACATCTCTTTTCTGCCATAAATAAAGTTTGTCCCTCAGTTATCAATAAATACCTGGAGTAATGTCGCCAAAGAGACCATTAGAATTTCCTTTATGGTACTGTTCATGAAAATTTCTATAATATTAAATTTATCAGTTTAATTCTGGTATTTATATTTATTTAAAGTGTAATTACAGTTTATGTAGAAAAGCCATCTGAAACATAAATACTGTACATATAATTACAACATTAAGTACTGTACTTCTCACCTACTCATACTAAAAGGCCACGAGAAAACCAAAGACTTGATACAAACATTATAACAACAAGTGAACATGTGTGTCAGCTACCCTGCCAAGATCAACTATCTACTGTACCGCCCTACTTCAGCTACTATACATATCAGTGTCCACAATATAGCCAACAATGATGCACTGAGAGATATTATTCTATGACTAACACCCACACCTTTGCCAGATGCACATCTTATGAGCTGTTATTCACAATTTCTAAAGATAGATAATGCAAAGTATATTAGGAAAACAGCTAATACTTCCATAACTAAAACAAGATACAGTTCAAATGCACAATACTAAAAAATCTCCTTTATATCACTGGTAAATATGCAAATGACTACAAACAATGTTTTCCACAGTACGATTACAACTTGTTACATTCAACACTATACAGTATCAGCAAATACCACTAAACTATAAATGTTAACCTATCCCTCATGTCACTGTCATATCGTAGCCACAGACTAAGAGAGTGAAGGAGTTAACGAGTCATTACAGTGCATTAACTATTAGTAAAGAAGAAAGTGCAGTATACATGTTAAGGAGGGACATAGGAGGCAGAGAAGGTTATGACTTGGGATGTATTCAGGAAGTAGGAAAGGAAAAGGTTATATCAGATGAACCAAATTCCATTCTTAATACCACATGTCAATTGCACCTAGTTTAATTTAGCACTATGTGTCCACAATTTTCCCCATGAACTAAAATTTTATAGATACAATTAAATATCATGACCCACAGTAACAAACCTCCTATATGAGGCAAAGGAAGTAGTATGCCATTAGTTCTTACTTCCCAGATGCCTGTGTGCAGTGAGCCTATTTGGCCACTGCTTCATGTTTCAAGATAACAGTACAGTACACTCAAGTTAAAGAAACTAATTACATTATCTAAAAACAGAAATAATAAAGAGCTAAATATCTAGACACCTGCACTAATGTTTTTTTTTTTTAATTGTATGGGCTTTCAATTTCTTTTGTATTAAGTCAATAAAGTATAGGAATACTGTAATAATTTTTATGTTTTCTAATAAATTTTACTAATGGCAAGAATGTAAAATTAAAAAATACAGTATTTATTTAAAAATCCCTTCACTGCCTAAAATTTTTGAAATATTTGAAGAACTACTTTGCTCTGGTGAGGAGAGAGCCTAAAGCTGATGATGGGCCAGTCCACCGAAACCTGAGAACTGCTTCATACGTAACCAACAGTCAACAACCATTATGTTACAGTTAAATTTATACAGGAAAAAAACTATTAAATCAATTTCTTGCAAGGCACCTACAAGGTACAGTACTGTACTTTATTTCTAAAGTACCTTCAGCAAGGTTGGTGACTCAAGTGAGCATGTTGTCACTGTCAACCTGATTCACAGCAGTGTCAAATGATATGCAAATTGTACAATCAAAAAAAGAATAAGCTGCAGTGTCACAATTTGCTATGCACCATGTCTTATAGACAAACTCTACTTTTCTTAGCAACAGTTGTCAAGGAGGAGTCAAATGATCTTTGGCTTACAGTACTTCCAGTTACATACAGTATACACTAAGGACTTGATAAAAAAATGGTGCTGCATTATAAAAATGAGGTTGGGGTCACTGGAGATGGTAATTAATAGCATGATGTTCAAAACCTACCATTCATATTGTAGTAAAGTAAACTTGTTCCTCACTTTACGTGGGGTTCTGTTCGTGGAAAATGAAGCAAACAGTACGACTGTGCAAAACCACACAACATTTACATAGTAAAATAGTAAAAGAGGTGTGATATTCCAGAACACCCTTCCAGACCAAACACTCACACTCTGACCCCTGACTAAATATTTACACATTTGAACTACCTTAAAACATCTATAAATACACAATACTCATACATATTAACTATTAAGAAACAATTTAATGAACAGTACTGTACAGTACTCCATAAAAACTATGTAATGTTAATTATCTTGACTCCATAAGCCCACTGTACTGCCCAGGAGCCAGGGATAGCATCAGTTGCCACAAACCATCCACTATGCAAGACACAATACCTACAGTCACCATGCATGCCTTCAATGTCTGGTCTGACATCACACACAACCATCCCACTACATGTTAAGGAACAAGTGCTGGCACATGATCTCCACCACTACCAAGGCTCATTGACCTTGTAGGAGAATTCAAATGATATGGCAAACACCCCACTCTTAAGTCAATAAATTACAGTATTTCTTATTGGATTCTGGCATAAATACCGTCTTGCTTTTCTTACTAGGGGCATCTTGCCCAGGAGAAATACTGGCAGAATGTGTGGGTAGTGCCTTAATGTGAATACAGGATGTATAATGTATGCAGTGACACAAGATTGATTGCTGGCATGATGTAAACAGTTAAACACAAAGTGCAGACTGACCTCAGTGTTGCCATGCATTGTACACCCTATAACCTACCCTCACAATGATAGACTTAGCACCCATCTTGTGTTTTGGCCAGTCAAATTGCTGACCTTGGCCATTCAACCCATGCAATTGTAAATTGTTTGTGTTTAAATATATAACATGCAAATGCTAAAATGTGCAAATCGAGGGACGAGTGCACAATGGCTTGACTTTTAAATTGTACTTATACAGTGCCTAAATTAATATTTAGCTAAACAGTAACTCTCTCTAATCTCAGAAACTTAAGTGCCTCACTAGAATCTTTCTACTACACCTTGTCTAACACTGGACATTAATACAGCTACTGTACCTTCTGGGTAAAAAAGAGTTCAGATGTCCCCCTTCCAACAGGCCTGTTAAGTTTAAATAATTTCAAATATTCTCACTTGGTAATGTGTCAAAAAGCAAGTTGCAATTATAAAGTTAATGCTGAAGAAAGTGAGTGTGTGAAAAGAGTTAAAATCACACATAAAAAACTAGCAAATGAAGACTGCCAGAACTACATCCCCGAGAGATAAGCTGTATTTGAGAGTCAGGCACCTTGATATTGTTGCAGGGATATTCATGTACCGTATATATGGGTCAAATTATAATAAATCCTTTACTTCACACAATGGGAACTTTAGCCATAAACTCTTCAACAGTATAAGTACAGTATACAAGAAGACTTCTTGTACATATGTTAGTAAAATATGAAGTTAATTAATTATTAAGAAAAATTTTAAGTTTACTAATTTTGATAAGTTTTATATAGCTGATTATTTTAAATTTTCTGTCTTCTGTTTCAGGAATCAACGTGCCTTTAAATGCCAAAATATTCAAATGAAAAAAATTTGGACTAAAGTACATACCGTTTACAGTAAAAAGATAACCGAGTTCCAACACAAAATTGGACCAGGCATAGCGTAGAAAAACTGATTTAACAAATTTATAAAAATGTTGGTGTTATTTGACTGGAAGGTGTGGAAGGTTTCAAACTGCATAGACCAACGAAAACATTAATTGCAAATCAATTCTGCAGTCCAGAAGGTAAACTTGAAACATACAAATCTCCAAGGAAAATAGAAACATCAACCCTTATTTCACAAATTACAGTGCCACGTATCATCTGGTATGATTAAAACATCATTGAATGGCATCAAACAAATGAATGTCCACCAGCTCTCACACCCTAGTGAGTATAAAAGCATAACATACTCCCAAAAGTTTTTAAGCAACATTTCCTGCTGACAGTGTTAGTGTCAGGTATACCTGTATTTGTTTCAGTGATAAGTATGCGTTTACTGTTTCAAACTCTGTATACACTCAAAATGATCGGGTGTATTCAAGATGGGGGAAAAAAGACATCTTATAAGAGTTTTTCATTTCAAAACTTAGAAAATCTCAGTTTTGTTGACCTGAGGGCCACACTATCAGTACCCTGTAATCCTCAAGAAGCAAATTTGTGATAAATGAAGAAAGCTTTTCACAGTCCAACAGGAGAAAGGCAACTATTCAGACAACACACTCAACTGTGTCTTGTGTTCTAGACTTTATTGAAAAAGAACCTCAGCCTCCAAATAGTCCAGATTAAAATCCATTGGACTAAGCCATTCGGTATGTGCTGCAGGAGCTTGTTTACAAACATCCTATCGAAAATGTGAGAGTATTGCACCAAGTGATGGAGGGCACCAGAGGAGAGTATTGCAGAGATTTATACATCGTGTCAGTGATCAATAGCACTCCAGGCTGGGAGGCAGCAATCAACAAAATGGTGAAGTTATTGAACATTTATTCTAAGTTTAATTTTCCTCTTGTTGATGGAAGAAATTTTTGTAGTAGAGTGTATGTAAATGGGAAATAAATGTGCACTTTTGTTTTGTCTCCAATAAACAACTGCATTGTAAAAAAAAAAATCTAATCTGGTTATTTCATCACCCCCTCATTTAAATCAAACGTTTTTCATATATTCAACATTATTACTTGAGTTGTACTACATACTGCAGTACAGTAAATCACTTCCATCCGAGTTTTATTCAAGGCACTACAGTATCTTCCAACTCCCAGTCTGGCTCAACATTATTTAATTCAATACTGTTTGACTGAAGTTGAGTTACTACATATAAAGAATTCCCTTTTATAGGTATTATTTTTAGTGAAAAGTCAGTTTTAGAACAATGTGATGCTTATACCTCCCATGCTCATGATTTTACTCAGATAATGAATTACTTAAACTTGTGACTGCATATTAGTGGACAGTATTACCCTCATTACAGCACTATATTAATGTGCATCTACACCTAAGACTCCTCATTCCTCCCCAACACTCTATTGTACTCAAGTATTCATTCATTCTTCACTTCACCCAATATAACACAAGAAAGGTGGTGAGTATTGAACCTGATTATTCTAATTACAGTAATTACTTTACATTTTCAGGTTCATTTTTTAAGACAATATTAAGGTGCAAAAGTAAACATTTCAAACATTACAGAAATAATAAAAAATGAAAAATATAAGTAATTAAAAACTGCTTTTGAACAGATAATCCCTCCCCACCAGTCATCAGAGATTCAATTTACAGTACTGTTGTACTATATACTGTACACATACAGAATGCTGCATACAGTATACAGTAGAATTGCATTTTAGTATTATTCTTGTTACAGCAAGGTGTGGGTCAGGGTGTGGGTCAGGAAGATTAAGGAGAGGCCCTTCAGGGAACTGATAAGTGACATGTTAGTTCTTAATGTTACATTGTAGCCAATTTGAGCTGTTAAAAATTTATCTGTGATTGGTTGTTGACTTATGGTACGAATTTAGGATGCAGAACTCATCATCTCAGAAGACCAGCCCATCTTCTGTTATGGTTCACATCACTCTGTAGACACGAAGGAAGCTAATGAAGGAAGACTAATGAGTACCCAGTAGGAGCATGATTTATTATGGCGTTATAGTGAAGAAAGAGTACAGCTCAAGAGAAAATAGCACCAAGATTAGAAATATGTCAGCCAACCACAAGAGAAATGGCAGGAGAGGAAGTGACCAAATGGGCATAAAACCTACACCGGGGGGCTGGGGCCCTTGGATGGTGAGTTTTGGCCTTCCTTTGGTGCATGGCGGGTGTAGTAATCCTCGGGACGGGGGAGGGGAGGGCGTGGGGGAGGAGCGTCATCCTGGGGGGAACCCTGGTCATCTAGACCATAGGGAGCTTCCCCAGATGACATGCCCACCCCAGGGTTATACCTGAACACAACAGCAGCAGTGGGTTATGGCAGTGCTCGGGGATGTAGTCAGGCCATGCTCTCTCCCAAACCCTCATTATATAGGTATTGTCTTTACCTGTTTTTTATCTAATATTTTATTTGACAAGGTATATCTTTTTTTATTGACTAATTAACATATAATTTTTTGGGGAAATAACTGCAATCTAATGGAATTATATGTATAATATTCTTAAAGTCTGTTTAACCAAGATGCCTCATTAATCCCAAAGTTGTCACATCAGAATAGAAGATTTTTAATAAATCATTTATGTGAAGAAAAAAATAAATAAAGATTTGTGAGGGGGATTAAGAAGGCTTTGCCTAAACTGATTCTTATGGAGGGTTGGAGAAAGGCATAGACTTCATGAGTGCATTATCAAGCTTTGAACAAAACTGTGCCAAACCTGGTGAAGCAGAGTACTTTGCTAACCCATGGTTGTGTGATTAGACTAGGGTACAAAAAGGAGAGCAGCATTATTTAGAACCTACATACAGAGAAGCAAAAGTTGTTATTAAATGGTACTGTACCAAGTGAAAATATACACAACTTGAGATCAAATATTATTCTCACTGCAATAAGTAAATTCTTCTTACTATTAAATTTTAATATCTTAAAATGAAACACACTCAGACTGTAACTAGTCCAACTTCCAAGCTAATCTAATAAGGGTATCAATATCACTCAGAGATCAAAACAAGCGTGATCTAAATACAAAACTTTTTTTTTTACAATTACATTAATAATCTCCAATCCACAATACATAATAACTCAATCAATCTGGTCTTGAGCTTTCCAGAGACCACTTACCCAGACCTCATGAGGTTGTTCTTGGCATCGGGAGTGTCTGGACCGTAAAGACCACGAGAGAGTTCTGAACGGGTTGGGGGCTGGACGTACACATTTTGGTTGGAGTAGTTTGGTCGGGTGTCGCTATATTCTGGATTGCGGACATCTGTAAAAAATATCAGTTCATATATTAACCGCACTCACTTTACATACAGTATAATCAAGTACAGTACAGTATAAGGCAAAAAATCATGTTCTGTTCTGTACAAGTAGATCTTAAAAGGACATCTTACACAATTATAGTACAGGACAATATTATATTTGCAAAGCCTCTACGGTACTGTCTAATCTCTGTCCAACAGTATTCAGTTTAACCCCTGAGTTGAATAAAATCGCCTGGCATTTGTCAAGTAAAATATTAAAAGTAACATCCCAGTAGTGAAGGGGTTAATAAAGCAATCTTTGGTAATTTCTTATCACAAACTTGTCTCACTATAATTGCAAAAATGAGATTATTAAAAAAAAAGTATTGTAGATATCAAACCTTTTACTGTGAGGTCTGGTGGTGCGAGCATCGAGGGTGGTGGATCTCTCCGGACTACAAGGCTTAGTCTCTCCTTCGTACTATCTAATAATTTTTTGGCCTCTTTTAGGGTGAGGTTGTCCGTTGAGTTTGAATTGATACGTAGAAGGACATCACCTTCCTTTAGGTTGCCTTCTTTTTCTACCGAAGCTTTATTGGTGATTTCCTTCACATAAATACGGCAACCCAACACTACCCCATAATCTGGTGAGGATAATAACAGTTTTAAATCGATTAATCCATCATCAATATGGCTGAAAAAACAAACTTATTCACAACAAAATAAGCAACAGTATTTATCTGTACAATACATATTTTTAATATACATATGACTCAATCAGAATAAGTACTGTAACAAGATTGTCTAAACTAATAATATTGATGTACTTATTGTCGAGCCTTACCATCTTTTTTCTTGTTTTTCGTGAGGGTAACCTTAATTGTCTGGGCCTCAGGTGCTGCAGGGAGAACAATTCTTCGTTTAACCACCAGCTGGACAGCAGCTCCTGAGTCTCGTAGTACCTGAACCGCTCTTGCATAATCAACATTCTCCAAGCTGATACCATTAGCAGAGATAAGGCGATCATTAATTCTGTGGATAAAAAAGTTCACCTTAGAGTTCTTTCAGGAGTCAGTATGAAGCACATGCATTACTCTGTTCATTTGCACACTGTCAGGTGTGAAACATTTATCCAGAAAGGTGAAAAGTCTTTACTTCAGTACTGTATACTGTACAGTTAAACACAAATGTGATTTTTTTTTCAGAAGGTCAACCGAAAAGGAAAGATGAATCTATTCAAACAGTCTCAATCAGTCTCCTCATTAGCACAAACACTTATAAATCAGCATATTTAAGCAAATGAAATACAGTAGAGGTATAATCCCTTAAGTCCAGGACCCTTGGGACAAAGACCACGCTAGATTAGGTGTGTAAGAATGGTAAAATTAACCCCAGAGGAGCATTAGGGTGTGGTGAACCAGGGACCCTTATAACAGTAGGCAAGTGCTGTACCCACTCAACCATCCAACATTGTGATTTACAAAATAATGAGATTTGTTTGGCCCCACACGAGTTAAAACTACGTATTACTGTACAGGGAGTCCCCGACTTATGAATGTTCGCTAATACGAATGAGGTTAAACTTGAAATTTACAGTACTGTATTTTATTCACCTGATAGCTTATTTTTTTTACTTTCATTTACTATACTGTATTTTGTCATTCTATTTCTTCATTTGTCTTAAATTAAGTGATTTTAGATGTATACAAGGACTTAAGCTATAATATAGTGGGATTTTTAAACATTGTTCTGTAAGTATAGTATGCACATAGCATGTGTTCCGACTTACGTACAAATCCGACTTAAGAATGTCCACAAGAACGGAACCCGTTGACTCCCTGTACTGATTTTGGCAGCAACAAATTATGAACATTGTCATCCAATAGCTTGAATATTATCAGTTGTAGTAATATTCTGTGGTCCATGCTAAATAAAATCTGACTATTCACTTCAGATTACATTTAATTTACACAAGCATCAAAGATATGCACAAAAAGGACATGTTTTTGCCATATAAATAACAAGACATTCCAGAGTGGCTTGTGTCCAACTTTGCCCCCCCCCGTGGACGTTCATGCCTGGGCAAGACTTCTTTAATATGAGTATGCTATCCACTGCACTGGCCCTCTTAAGCCATGACACACACTTTGGTGGCCAAAGTTATGTCACAATGACACTCAGATTCAACAATATACATATGCACTTTCATTCCAATTCTGGGAAGGAATAGATTTAAGACGAAATCAAGGAATGGAACAACTAGGATAAATAATTTAGTTTAACATGGGAGGAAGTGACGAGGATTACACCTGGATGGACAAGTAGAGAGAGAGAGAGAGAGAGGACCGGTAGGCACAGGAATTACTTTAGATAAAAAATAATAAATTACCACATACTTAGTCACCTAACTCACGTTCATGCACACTAAAAGGCCTCCACCATAGCCAAATAAACTGTGAAAGGGTAATTATTTATAGAATCCCATCATAAAGTTCACCCTTCATATGATTCTGGTTTCACATCACACATATTGAACCAGTTTAATAAATTTATTCTTTTACAAGTATTTTTGTCACACTTCGATATTGTTACTCATTATTGATAGTACACACGACCAACCACAATCACTTATAACCCACAACAACATTATCACAACCTACAACACTGTCTACAATACTCATAACCTGCATCACTCACAGTCTACAACACTACAACATCATTCACACACTACAACTCATAACATACAACACCATTCACAGCCTACAACACCACTCTCAGCCTACAACACCACTCTCAGCCTACAACTCATAGCTTACAACACCTCAGCCAATAACACTACAACATCATTCACAGCCTACAACACCACTCACAACCTACAACATCACTCAACCTACAACACCACTCACAACCTACAACACCACTCACAACCTACAACACCACTCACGAACTACAACACCACTCACAACCTACAACACCAATCACGAACTACAACACCACTCACAACCTACAACGCCACTCACAACCTACAACACCAATCACGAACTACAACCCCACTCACAACCTGCAACACCACTCACGAACTACAACACCACTCACAACCTGCAACACCACTCACGACCTACAACACCACTCACAACCTACAACACCAATCACAACCTACAACACCACACTCACAACCCACAACACCACTCACAACCTACAACACCACTCACGACCCACAACACCACTCACAACCTACAACACCACTCACAACCCACAACACCACACAACCTACAACACCACTCATAACCTACAACACCACTTACAACACCACTCACAACCTACAACACCACTCAACCCACAACCTACAACACCACTCACAACCTACAACACCACTTACAACCCAACACCACTCACGACCTACAACACCACTCACAGCCTACAACATCACTCACAACCTGCAACACCACTCACAACCTACAACACCACTCACAACCTACAACACCACTCACAACCTGCAACACCACTCACAACCTACAACATCACTCACAACCTACAACACCACTCACGACCTACAACACCACTCACAACCTACAACACCACTCACAACCTACAACACCACTCACAACCTACAACACCACTCACAACCTACAACACCAATCACAACCTACAACACACCCATGGCCTTCAACACCAGAGAGTCGTGTGGCCTTGGTTGATGGTGTGTGTGTGGTGGGCGGGGGACAGCTTGGTCTGCCTGGAGCATCACAACACGTGGTTCTATTACACTGCATCATGTTCTTAATATCTTTCCTCATGCAGACACACACGCACAAAATATATTTCTTCTCTTTTCTATGATTTATTCTTTAGTTATATTTTCTCGTTCCTATTAAATATAATTATGTATTCCATCTATGTTTTTATTTTATCTTTACTAGTTAAGAATTTTAAATCAGAGGGTACTGTATTATAAAAGGTACAACTAACCCATGCATACACATCTTACATCTCACGTCCTGTATCTAACCTAACAACAGAAATAAATAACGGCACAAGAAACTCACTGTAGCTTGCCCTCGGCTGGTCCTGCCTTGAGCACGTCGGAGATAGCTATTGAAGGGTCGCCGTTGGTGAAGTGTGGGTTGTCGCGACCTCCACTCACCGCGATGCCAAAGCCGTAACCAGGCACTCGAGTTAGTGTCACATTATGGAACTCCCACACCACACGTTCCCCGCCCTGCAACACAAACACAAGTGATTAATTAGTTTGCTCCTGATCATAAAAAAATAAACATTCATTAATAAGTGAATAAATAAATTAGTAAAGCTATCATTCTTCCTCTATATTATTAGTGATCTGTGACCCCAACTACATGTATTGGTGTGTTGTGGGTGTCGGAATGCATATTTATGTAGAGTGGAGACGTGTAGACATTGACTAAAATACACAGTAAGATAGGAAAGAAAATGCCAATACTGAATTCTCTCATGATTCATCTAAAATAATTTACTCTTTTCTATACAACACCTGCCTAAGCAACAGTGACCTCACACAACTACAGACTGACAAAGATGATTATAACTTAACCTATTACAGAAATAATGGAATCTCCCAAAACAGCCTTGAACATAAAATATATTAAGAGGAATTTCTACTAAAAGAGCAAAATCAACTAAATCCCAACACAACCTAAATTAGTGACGCCATCTTGCCCAGGTAGCCAAGGAGTGACGCCTCTGGACTCAAGACATATACTGTATAATAAATGTACTCAATATCATCAGTAATGCACCTGATATGCGTAAATTTGTGAGTCACGCCTACCATCAACAAAACACACCTGGTGCAAGTAATTACAGGTCTGTCAGTGAGGTAAGAATTGCCTGATATCTAAGAAAGAGAATAGTATTTAGTATAGTCCAAACAGAAAAACACACTAAAGGTAATATTCTCAACAGCTACCAATCACAGCAGAAATATGTGTCCATCACGGTTCGTAGCTCAGGTGATTCCCCAACTTAATATAAGAACGCATCTCACATCTTTCTTTTGTGTCATGAAACAACGATGATGGATAAAAGTGTCTCAAAGTTAAAGGCACTCCTGTGTATACCGGCAGTAGAAAAGTTAAAAGTTCCTGATATTAACTTATAAAGATCAGAATCAAAGGACTGGATTCTCAAAAGCTCGTAAGTCATTTATCTTTACTTAAAACACAGGATGAAATAAGGCCTCCCAACTACACAGAAGAGGTAACGTACAGTACAGGTGGAACAAGGTGTTGTGAGCCCTGGTGTGGAATAGAGAAAACCTCGCCCCGTCCATCACGCCCACCTGCCCACCACAAACTTCTGACACACGTGAAAGAAATCCGTGATGCCATTTTCCCCACCACGTCACCCGGCAAGCCTCAGGTTGGTAAAATACTGTGGTGTTATTTTTCCTCCCCGAGTTCCCTTGTGGCCCCGGCTACCAGGACGACGAGAGAGGAGGGAGGGAGGGAGGGGGGTCTCTACTCTCAAATACCTGACACACCTCTGAGATACCTAACCTGACCTCCTCTCAATGACTGCTAGGAAAGGTTAAACAGTGATAATATACAGAGATCATGTCGCTTCAATTAGTTTTAACAGATGTCTTCAGTAAAATAACCTCTGGGAGAACTTTGATGTGCCTTTCGAACACATACCGTATAGGAACGAAATCCACTGCTGAGGCAATTAAGGACATAGAAGGAGGGCCGAGCAGATGCAAGAGAGGGTAATATCGATACGTGTCCTCAGAGTTACGACCCGATATGAGAGTTTATGGAGAGCACTCAAGAGAAACATTCACACACCCACGCGCCCTTTATCCTCACACCTCAACGCACCCTCCATCCTCACACACCCACGCGCCCTTTATCCTCACACCTCAACGCACCCTCCATCCTCACACCTCAACGCACCCTCACACCTCCACAACAACACACACTTGGTTATCATTATAAAATATCAAAACACACGACATACTAATATAAGAAGCAAATACTACAACTATGATACTAAAATTCCTAAGGACCGGCGCTCTCTCTGGTAGTACACAAACAGAAACGTAATTTGAGAAACGAAATGTACGGTAGTCGAAACATAGTACACACCAGCAACACCGAATGACACGAGGCAATGACGAGCACCTAACGCCCCCTCTACTGATGACAAAGCCGAGTTATAACCAATGTCTTATCTCGATGTTAAGTGAATAGGTATTTCCCTAACATATATCATACACGTCCTTATATACACAAGATACGATAATACTCATTAGTAGTTTGATATAATACTTGTATATAAATTGTAATCATAACAAGATTCTATAAGGAATCTGACACCAGGCTTCAATAGGATTTTATCTGACTATAAGTAGGATCCACCCAACCCCTCGCCACAAGCAGGACCCTTGAGCCATCGAGCAGTAGGATGTGTCAAACAGTGCTCAAGCGTCTTCTAAGAATACCAGACGAATACAGACATGAATGTGTATTAAGAGTATTCTGGAGAAACAGTTAGACGGACATGGTGAATACTGTATGTACCTCCAAGTGTCTATTGTAAGTTATCTATTAAGTAATAAAGGAGAAGGGAGAACGAGGAGAGGGAGACGTCGACACCCCCCCCACGGTGTCGCCGCCTTAACTGATCAATAGTGAACTTAGTGAAGGTCGTCCAGGCCACACCAACATATCAGTGAGCGCTGGGCTGTGTTTGCCTCCTTAAGACTAGATACTCAACCAACCAATCACAAGACCTTCCAACTTTGGCGTCGCTTAAAGTTTTCGTTCAAATACTAGAGTCTTAGAGGAATGACTCGTGGCATGATCCTGTGGCATGACTCCTGGGATGACTTCACATACATGAGGCATGACCCAGAAGGCCTAACCTTAGAACATTGCCAAACACCAAGTGTGGGGCAGCGGGAGGATGTTGGGGGCCGCGGGAGGACAAGTGTGTGGTGGTGTTATCGTCCACACACGAGGCAGATCGGCTATTGGTCGTTCAGGTATTGTAAACCAAGGAATAATCTACCTCAAATTTTGATCACTAAAAAAATTATTGTAAATTTAAACTATGACTTCTAGCCAGTTTAACAAATTAAAGTACAGGGAAGGACCACAGACAAGTGCCGTTTGAGAAGTCTGTTAACCGCCCAGGGCGTCGCTCTGCCAATGACGGAAGACATTTGAAAGCAGGTGGAGTGGACTGATGAAGGTCATGTGATAAGAAGGACTGGGAGGTCTGGAGTGCTAGTCCGTGGCATAAATGAGTTATGGTAAGTAAAATTTTAGCAAAGGAAATTTTCAACAAACAAGTAATGGGCCTTCCTAGTTGGTGTTGGTGAGTGTAGAACAGGGGCGGCGATGAGATGTCACTACGAATATGTAATGTTGGATATTTTCGAGTAATGTAATGACTGATGATCATTTTGATGTGTTTTTCTGTACCGAATCGAGAAGCTAAAATGACCAACACCACACCAGCCACAGGTGACTGAGGTGTTCCATCTGGGAGCAGAATGGTTTATACAAATGGCTACCAATCTATAAAATGAAGCCTGGTGATGAACACAACTCAAGGCTTCATTGAAACAGTACTGCTTTATTTTTCCCAACTAAGTTTGTCATGGTAAGTCTTGAGGTAAAGGTGTTGCTTAACTCTCAGTTATGTGGGATGATGGTGTTACCAAAAGTAATGTTAAATTGGGCATTATATATCACTGGTGATTACAAACATTATGTATTTTGTTTCAGTAACATTGACAGAAACCAAGTTGGATGTTCCCCCACTTGGTGTACAGCAGTGTGTGGGGCCTTCCTGTAGAGGCGAGGACGTCTGTTGTGTAGCATAACAAATATTATCCTGTGATTAATAACACCTACAATTTATCAATAATTATAAAACTGACCATAAGGATACACTTAAACTATTATACATAATATGAACTTCAGTATCAAATCCCCACCCCAACCTCTCCAGAGTGACGGAATGCATTTGAAGGCGACACCAATATTCTGGTACAGTCACCCAAAAAAGTCCTGTCGCGAACCATGAACCCCGAGATTCAGACTCATGAATCCGAAGCATTTATGGACAGAATAATGTATCAGTGTCTGCTGCTTCGGGTTCATGAGTCTGAATCTCGGGGTTCGTGGTTCTCGACAGGACTTTTTTGGGTGACTGTACAACTTAATATTCCACCAAAAGCCTCAACATTATAAAACACAAGAATAGGCATCTGGAAAGTCCTTAGCCACCAACACCTTCACCAACACGTTAATAAAAATACAACCAAGGCAAGAGTCAGGGTGTTGAAGGTGAGGTATGAGCGTGGCTGGAAGGATCTCCCCGACAACCACAAGCAAGCAAGCAAGCAAGCAGCTGTTTACAACCCTGAAGATGGTGCCCACACATCACAACAACACCTACACTGTTTCTGTTCCCTCTGTTACCTCACGTCTACCTACACCACAAACATACTCCACAATGCAACTCTACAATACTCAGACGAAGAATCTACATCACCAATACTACATTTTAGAGCACTACAAGGTTAACTACTAGTCACTACTTGATCCAGACGCAGTATATACCTCACTAAACGTACTGTCAGACAAAGCGGGAAGAGGGGGAAGGGTAAGTTGAAGGCAGGACCAGCTGACACGTTTCCTGGGACAAATGGCTCAAGTGTGAAATAAAAGACGTATTGAAAAGTGTGAAGGAAAGCAAGTGTATATACCTCAACACAACACAACACAACACAACACTACACTACACTACACAACACTACACTACACTACACTACACTACACAACACAACACAACACTACACTACACTACACTACACTATCATAGAAGAATGAAATTATATGAATACAAATAATTATGTCCAATGAACAAGAACATTCCCGTATACTCCTGAAGAACATTCTCTCTCTCTCTCTCTCTCTCTCTCTCTCTCTCTCTCTCTCTCTCTCTCTCTCTCTCTCCTTTGTTTACTTCTTTATCTGCAGTTTGTATCCCATAGTGAACAGGAATATTTATTTTATCTAAATTATTAAACATTACATCACTTAACCCGCCGCCTCCCTCAGAAGAACCACTCCCAACCCCCGACACCAAACACTGAGTCGATCTGGGACCTGGAGTGGTAGAGGGTGAAAGAGGCGGTGTAGGAGTCGTTGCCGAAGTCCTGGCCAAGTT